TCTAATGTGGAAATATAAACCTACATTAGATGGATGGATGGATGGATGGATGGATAGAGATAGATAGATAGATAGATAGATAGATAGATAGATAGATAGATAGATAGATAGATAGATAGATTCAGGGGTTGCACCACTCACAGAACAGTACACTAAGAGAACGACAACATCAACAAGTCAAAGTCAGTTAAAACCAGTATAAAACCAGTATTAAAAGTGCAGTAGTGCTAGCAGTTCAATACATATATAGTGCCGAGTTTTAGGTTTTGTTAAACAGTCTGATGGCTGCTGGAAGAAAGGACCTCCTGTGGCGCTCTGTCCTACAGCGTGATGCTAGGAGCCGGTCACCATGCTGACTGCTGAACTGCTCAGTGAGGACGTGGTAAAGGGGTGGCTGGTGTTTACCCTGATGGCTAGGAGCTCACTCCTGATCCGTCTCTCCACCACCGTCCCCAGGGAGTTCAGGCTCCTGCCCACCACTGAACCCGCCTTCTTCACCAGCTTGTCCTGCTGCCCCGAGTCCCTCCTTCAGATGTTGACGCCCCAGCAGACTGCCGCGCAGAAGAGGATGCTTGCCAAAACATGACCAGCATCTCCCTGCACACGTCAGAGGAGCGGAGTCTCCTCAGGACGAACAGCCTGCTCTGTCTCTTCCTATAGAGTGCATCTGTGTTGACAGACCAGTCAAGCTTGTCATCCATTGTTATTTCACTTACCATTTGTATATGACATGAACATTATCAAAAACAATCCCCACTAAGTTTTCATCATGAACCTCTGAAGAAGAGAGTAGATTTCATCTCTTCTTATAAAACCGTTGAATCATTGCATCTACACTGAGCACTCAGCAGGCTGCCACTGTTTACAGGCTCACTATGACCAAATATGTCTGGAAAGATTGATCCGCCTGGTGACAGACTCAAAATCTGGCCGATCCATCTGCTTTGCAAGGTTCGAAAATAAATGCAGAACATGTATGAGGTCTCATTCTTTGAGACTTCTATAGTCTGTTTGCACTAGTTCATTCTATGTTGCAGTTTGTGGTCACTCTACAGACTGAGTTGATATGTCTGATGTGTGTGAGGTTGATCTGGTGTTGCCTTTGCCATTCAGAATTAATACTTTTACTTTGGGGTCTTGACCAATCTGAATCACGAGTTTAAATGCCAAGTAATTAGTAAGAAAGATTGGTTAATCTTCACTTGCTGCTCTTGTAAATATTGGGATTTTTTTGGTCTTTATTACCAGTTATATAAAAAGATACATTTCATATACATGTGATCATTTTTAAGTTTTACTATTTAAATCAAAGACTTGATCGGTGCAGTGGCCATGAACAAAAGAAGCCACAGTGGAAGTTACCAATGCAAAAAAAAAAAAAAAGAAGAAGCTGAAGCCCACTGCAAATAAAAATATAAACGGTGCAGATAATTTTAAAAATGTAAATTTTTTCGCAGTAAGTAACTTTTTTTTTCTTTGCATTGCCACTTTTTTGTGTCGTTAACTTCCATTCTTTTTTTTTTTTTTTTTTGCACTTTTTTTATTTGCAGCAGTGGCGGTTCTCAGCCACCATAGATCGGAGTTGACTATTACTGTCAAATAAAGATGGTGGCGTCCTCCTCTTGGCCAGGGTGGTATGAGATATCCAAGCGGACACGACAACAAACTGAACATACAGGACGCTGACATACTGACCATCCAGCACAGCAAGACAGCACAACAACACGTCAAGGTCCATAATGCTTAGCTGCTTCTCCACCCCTTGCAGCACACAACAGGGAAAACATACACACATACACACACACATACACAGGTGTGGGGATTAAAGGATCAACATGAAAGAAAGAGCAGAACTTGCACTGAAAGCAAAAATTATAGGAGACGGAAGTTTCTGCGACAAGGTGAAAGGCAGAGGAGCAGCTCCCTGGGTAGTCGGTGTTCACATGCAATTAGAGTTTAGAGGTGTTTTAGGGACAAGACCAAAAAGAACAAAAAATAACTCACAAAACTTGATGTTTTAATAAAGGAATCTGTGGATCAGCTGAAAAAGCTTTTAGGCACTAAGGTAGAAAGCCAGTGACCAAGAATAACCCCATCTTTTTTCGTGATCATGTCAGTCCAATCCTACAAAAGTTAACTTGCTGTCTTCTCACAGGGAGGTAAACTATGTATTGAGTCACAGAGCCTATTTTTTGCCAGGCCCTCCCGTATAAAAAGTACTAATATGCATCGAGAAGCTTTAGTCTCATGCAGAGCGAGATGAAAATTGGCTCCCTTGCTGTGAAAAGTTGAAAGAACAGAGTTTAACAGACAAACCTCGGGTTCCAGACAGCTAAGCACAGTGTGCCAGAGCCGCAGGACAAGAGCTCAATGTCATTTCACAGCTTTAAGAGGAGAGCTGGATGCTGCTGGGGATTTAGGGGAGAGAACAAAAACAGAGGAAGGTGAAGGGAGGGAGACTAATCCAAAAACATCACTGCCCAGGCTGCAGCCACACACACACACACACACACACACACACACACACACACAGGCAGAGGGGCCAAAGGGTCAGCCGAGTGTGCCTCGTTTAATTATGATGAAATATATGACAGTAACAGGGACTGCACCCAGGTGCACACTGTGAAGACAGGCTGTCACCAATCTGTCAGTGCCTGTCTTCCACTGTTTGGACACACACTGGCTCACCTGCACAGCCACACACACACTCTCATACTTAGAGTCACATGGATACACATGATATTTAAATTGCTCTCTCAAAGATAATCCTCAACTTAGATTTGATGGAACTGATTTTCTACAAAAACCTGCACAAGAGGCAAGAGGTCAGTCAAGGAAACTGTGAGGCCTGTATATTAAAATAGTACCTTCACATGCATAATGTATAATATATATATATATATATATATATATGTATGATGGATGTATATATAATGGATGTATAACAGTGACAGGGGGGACTAGATCTTGCAGTTTTACCTTTTCCATTTCTGCAGGACCTTTACTTGTAATTACTACCATATTGCTCCTTAATCTCTTGCATGGATCAATATTTCATCCAGTGGTTATCAAGTCCAGTCCTCGAGCCCCCCTGTCCTGCATGTTTTGGATGTTTCCCTGCTCCAAAACACCTGATTCAAATGATCAGCTCATTAGTAAGCCATTACAGAGCTTGATAACGTGGTTTAAGATGGACATCCATCACTGTAACACAGAACAATAGGTCTCCTTTGAGAATTGATGAATAAAAACAAGATATTTAATGTTCAACAACAAGATATTTAATGTTCAAACTTATAAACTTTATTATTTTTTGCAAATATTTACTCATTTTGAATTTGATGTCTGCAACACTTTCCAAAAAAAGTAGGCACAGAGTCATTTTACTGCATAACCTTTCCTTTTTACAACACTCAATCAGCATATGGGAGCTAATGAGGATAATTCTTTAATTGGAGACAGGTCTTAACTGGACTACAGGCAGGCCAGTTAAGTACCTGCTGTTGTAACACGTACAGAATGTGGTTGGGTATTGTCTTATAGGAACGTCTCTTAAAAACACTTGGCTTACATAGCAGCATATGTTGCTCCAAAGCCTGTAGCGTTCATGATGCCCTCACAGATGTGCAAGTTACCCATGCCGTTGGCTCTAACACATCCTCGTACAATCACAGATGCTGGTTTTTGAACTTTGCCCTGATAACAATCTGGATGTTCCTCCTCCACTTTAGATGAGCTCGGGCCCAGAGGAGCCGGCAGCGTTTCTGGGTGTTGTTGATCCAATCCAGTCCAATCCGCTTTATTTATATAGCACATTTTAAAAAACATTCAAGTTTACCACAGTTCTGCGCAATAAAATTAAAAGAACAAACACTGCAGAAAACATCAAGATGGAATAAATAAAAGCAGTTAAAAAACATTTAAAATGGAATAAAATAAAAGAAATAAAAGTGATAAAAGACATAAAAGGACAGAGATCACACAACTCTCATGCTGAGCTAAAAGCGAAGGAATTAAAATTAATTTTAAGACGTGATTTAAAAGTAGAAAGAGTGGGGGATGTTTTAATCTCGATTGGCAATTTGTTCCATGATTTGGAAGCCACAGCCAAGAAAGCTCAGCCGCCACGGGTTTTTAAACGACTTTTTGGAACCATGGGTTGGAGCTGATCAGCAGACCTCACGAAACATGGGGTCGTACTATATACCAGTGGTTCTCAAGTCCAGTCCTCGAGGCCCACTGTCCTGCATGTTTTGGATGTTTCCCTGCTCCAACACACCTGATTCAAATGATCAGCTCGTTATCAAGCTCCGGAATGGCTTAATAACGAGCTGATCATTTGAATCAGGTGTGTTGCAGCAGGGAAACATCCAAAACATGCAGGACAGTGGGCCTCGAGGACTGGACTTGAGAACCACTGGTATAAACATTTAAGAGGTCAGCGATGTATTGTGGTGAGCAATAAAATTTTAAAATGAATTCCAAAATGAACGGGAAACCAATGGAGGGACGCCAGAATAGGAGTGATGTGGTCATGTTTTCGTTTACCTGTTAAAAGACGAGCAGCAGCATTTTGGACCAACTGTAAGCATGTGAGGGAAGCCTGATTAACACCGACGTAAAGAGCGTTACAGCAGTCCAACCGTGTGGAAATAAAAGCATTAAAGACTCGTTCAAAATCATTAAAAGATAAAACCGATTTAATCTTGGATAAAAGCCTCAGATGATAAAAACTGGATTTAGCAACATAGCTGATTTGTTGATCCAATTTAAAATCAGTCAACTTTTACACTAAGATGCAGTGTTGATACATTTGCATGGTAGAGGCAGGCATCAAATACAAAATGAGTCAGCTTTTGCAATAACAGTGAAGTTGATGATTTTGAACACTCAGTAACTTGTCTTTGTAGTGTGTTTAAATAAATATAGATCAAAAAGGATAACTAATTTTGCAAATCGCTTCTGTTATACTGTAATATATGAAAAAATTGAGTTGAACTGTTTGATTTTTGAATATTTTATTTCATAAACAATATCTAAATTCAACTTTTTTGGTCACATACACAGAAAGGATAGAAAATGTTTGAATTAGAGTAAGAGAAAAAACAACAAGAACTGGGCAGTCCTCTCCGCTGACAGTGTCGACTTGTAGGGCGAGCTCATCGTGTGAAGACAATGGTGAAGACTCGAGGAATGGCCTGATGGTTAGAAAACTGTGCTACAAATGGTTGCAGGTTCAAACACCCGCCCTGCAGAAGTTTCTGTGATCAGCACACCCACCTTAACCAACTTTTGCCCTTTGACCTACGTGTAGAAAGAAACAACTTTCCCTCTGGGGGTCATTATACAGACAATAAACTCTAACAAATCCTTATATATATTGAAGTTTTGTCTTATCTGCTACACTTGCCTTTATTCAAATCAGAGATAAAGACAGATTGACTCTAGGCACCCTTATGACCTTATTTTATTCCCATCTCACTATGGTATGGTTACAAAATATATCATTTAAGACAAAACATGGAGGCAAGCCATCTGTATCTCACAAATGAACATAAATAAACCCATTTATTTACTGTAGGACAACATTTTTTTGGACCATGGTGTGAATCCGAGCTAGAAAAGTTTCACATTGCCTCCCTGTCTTCAACAAGAGCTAGAGAGTCTTTAATATGTTGGAAGACCTTCACCTGTGTGGCTAAACTATCATAAATGATCTCTACTAAACATAGCCAAATATTGCAAATATTGTGCAAGATCGAATACACTGATTGTGCAAATAATGTGTGCTCCTCTACTAAAAAAGCTTTGACAGGTGTCAGTTGTTAGCTTGAGTTCCCCACAACAGAACAACACTAGGACAACACTAAGGAGGCATTTGCTGTATAGAGTACCTTTTGCTGAAGATCATAAATCAATTACAAATGTCTTTTGTTAAAGAATACACTGAGATGCACACATCACAAAAGCCATTCACTTAATTTTAGAAAGAAAGACCCACAGACTACCCACGGACTGTGCGGCCCATCCGGTGGAAAATATTCGGAACGAGCTGCTCTGGTGTTTCTCTCAGAGCTGTTGCTTGTCTGTACAGTGAGATCCATCAATCCTTTGTCCATCTGTGTCTGGTTTCTGGCTCACCAGTGAAGCTACGGTTGGTGAGGCGTAGAGGAGGAATGACTGAGGGGATGGTGAGCTGTGCTGTGCTGGGCTGGACAGTGCTTCACCATGCTGTGCCTGAGACAAACTGTGCAAACGCTACTGTGCTCTTCGTCCTCTGGGCTGCGGGTGCTGGCACCATATGGTCAGTGTGATGCCACCCCAGAGGAGGCTGTTGATGTGTATGTTGTGCGTGTGTGAGTGTGTGTGTGTGTGTTTCTATGTGTGTGTGGTACAAACATTGGCCAGGCAGTGATTAACTCAGGTCTCTCTTTGACCAGTCATTCTGTAAACAGGAGTTTAAGTCTTCAGTCTTATGTACAGTCAGACAGAAAACAGAAATAAAAAGGCAGATTTTTTGACCCCCTTCCAGTCCTTTGTTTGGCTTCAGAGCAAAATACGTTTCTCCTCTTTACTTTGAATTTCTGTTTCTTTACCAAGACAATGGCAGTCCGTGTATCCAGAGTTTTTATAATTTCTCCAGGTGCTGATATATCAGTCATATGAGGTAACCAGGGAGTAGATCATACTGAAACACAAAAACAAGAACCAGAGAGTAGAAAGTGAGACAAAGTCAAGGTGAAAACAACTAATACCTAACTTCTCAAATCATCTTATCTTGAAACTCTCTCTCTGTGTGACTGAGTGTGTGTGTGTGTGTTTTCAAATATTTTATTGATCCATCCTTCATTTTGCTGCTGATTCATCTATAGATCCTGCTGTCTCAGCTGCCTGCAGATTTAATGGGGAGTGTGTTTGTGTAGGAAAACTCAAAAAATGGACTCATTTATTTTCACTGCTGACAGAGTGCTTAAATGTTTGAAATCTCTTTGAAGCTTTCTGTCAAAATCTGCATTACTCAGAATAATACTGTGCTCACACAGAGTGGATTCTATAGGAAGTTTCATATTTACTTTCTGTACTACTGTATGCAGACTTTGTCGAGGTTCGTCTATTCAGCGAACACACTCTTAATTATCAGACTCTTAAGGTTGTCATAGAATGTTGTCACAGACCCGTCTTAAACCTGTCAATTTATGTCGAAGCATTAAAGGGATATTCCAGAGTAAAATTGAGTTTGGGTCAAACACACCATTGAGAGATGAATGTTGCCGGAACAGCACCTAACTTCATCAACAGAACATAAAGGATCATTTCTTTATCATTTCCTCAAAGTAATATTCATCGTATCAATCATTTTGCACTGCAGACGCGGTAGTTCTTCTGCCTTAGCATCTCGGTCTGATTGCATTTCCATGAAGAAATTATCATAAATGTTCTTCCTTGAGCTGTGTCACCCCGGAGCAGTGTGTAATGGACTGGTCTGAGGTCTGGCTACAAACAAGGTGCTGCTGGAAGAGAGTAGGTGAGTTGTGTTTAGTCTCTTTGCTAAAGAAATCAGGCAAAGTTAAAAAGATGTTTGGTGGCTAGTACTGTGGCTGGGACCCTATATGTACTGTTGATGAAGTTAGGCGCTGTTCTGAGCATTATTTGTGGCTATAGAGTGGCGTTTTGGTTCAGTGTATGGCTCCTGAGAACGCTGTGTATTGCTATCTGCGGTCGTTACTAACGTTGGGATAATTAGAGAAAAACATTCATCTCTCGATGGGGTGTCTAACTGGGTGTTATGGTATGTTTGACCCAACTTAATTTTACAGTGGAATATCCCTTTTACTTTTATTCATGTATTACAATAGTAATACATAGTAATTCTATCTATCTATCTATCTATCTATCTATCTATCTATCTATCTATCTATCTATCTATCTATAGATATAGATATACACACATATAAACAGAAAAAACAAGTTAGGGACTATGACCAAAAAAAGCGTTTTGTCAAGATTTTTTTTTTTTTTTTTTTTTTTTTTTTACATTTTTTAAGGTTTTTTACCATGACCTAAAAAAATGTAAAAACAACTTCCTTCCTGGCATGTTAGTGCTTTTTGTTTGCTCCATAAATATACTGGAAAAAAAACACACATTTGAATGCAACACGGAAAGCAAAAGCTGATGAAAAGCATCATGTCATGCAATGAGTATATAGAAAACAAGCACTGAAGCACAAATTTCTGCAGTGTAAGAGAAAATTCCCATCATTAGTTTATGTATTATTAGTCTGAGCTCGTGCATCACTGTGATCAGCATGTAAACAGTCGGCCCCTGACATATAGAAATGTGATTTTTTTACCCTGTAAAATAAACTTGTTATTCATTGCATTTGATAACATCTAACCAAAGTCACAGATTGGAGAGTGAACACTTCTCTCACTGAGCTGTGACTTCACAAGAACAGATCAGCAGCTCACTGACAGTAACCGACACTTCCAAACATTTGTGCTCTTCACGGAGCATCCCGAGCGCCCAACACCTCTGGTAATCTCTGCTGGTGAGAGGACTGTAAGTTCACTTGGTTGACTCACTGAAGCCTTAGACGGAAAGAAAATATGATGCAAGGGGAGGGAAAGAGAGAGAGTGGGAGAGAGCGAGAGTGAGAGAGAGAGAGGGACACGGGAAGATGTGTTGGGGGAGGGGCAGACAGATCAAAAGTGAAAGGCTGCTTCCTCCTCTGAGACTTGACCTCCTCTCATTAAAGCCTCTGGGAACTGGCTTCATCATTAGTCGACTGACTTGTAGCTCTTTAAATTACAGCGCCTTCACTCTTACAGCCTAATGAGACATTAACTAAACATTATGTAAGCTTAAATATGACTTGTTATGTGAGATACTGCAGCAAAGAGGAAGGATCAGTAGAAATCTATGATGCCGTTGTTGTTTACTTTGGTTGGGGTCCATGATTATCACATCATCTTGTTATCATTTTATGAGAGTGAAGGCATGTTTACATATGACCTTATGTCAAATGTCTCATTTTTATTAATCTGCAATTCAGTTCTTCAAAATAAATTTTTAAAACTCTGATTAACACATTCGTATTCTTAAATGACTAAAGAAACACAAAGTTAACCTTTATTTCCTTTAGATTATACACGTCTAATCAGGTTTAATGCTCTCTCAGTTCTTCAGACCATTAGATCAGAATTGCATCATGGATATGTGGTGCTACGATCATACCCCATAAACAGAAGAGAGTGCTGATGACAAGCTTTTAATATGAAGTCTCATGACTCAGAAACAGCATGTCAGTCAGGTAGAATCCAATTATTGCCGCTCTCACTGGGCCACAGTGCAACAAGTGAAACATTCACTTAAAGACTAATACAATTTTCTTTAACTTTAGGCATAACTGGATTATGTAACTATGGACACTGACACATTAGAAGAAATATGTTATACATAAAATGTATAAAGTTTAATGCGCCTTTACTCTGTGTTACGTGTGTAAAATATAACTAATTTAATTCATCACTAATTTGCTAAGACCAGTACCGAAAGTATGACGGAGTACTAGGGCCACATTAAGAAAAAAAAAAAACTTCAGAATTAAAGTCGTTAATTCATGAGAATTTATTTATTTTTTATTTTATTTATTACTTTATTTCGACTTTGTTCCCGAAAGTAATGATTTAATTACAACTTTATTCTCGGATGTAATGATTTTATTTCTTATTAATACTCCATCATACCCTGTTGTTCACTTTGCCACTTACTAATATTGAGGAGTCGAGTGGCTGATACCATACATATTTAGTGTAATACGTAGCTCTTAACTTAAAGTAGATTTGAGGCCTCATGATAATCATTTCTGTCGCTCACCAGGGAAGAAAAAACTAGAACAATGTCATGATGAATGTGTCAGAGAAGACCCTCCATCTTTATTGTCCAATTGTTTTTAGTCTAGGTTTAAAGTAGTGATTATCTAAGTGCTAGATTTAATTGTGGAGGTCCTGATCTGAAATAATAAATGTGATTAACTGGAATATAACTAATTTAAGATTGACTAATGATTATACTTACTCAGCTTGTTTTGATAGGGAGGTAGAAAAATATAAAATAAAACACTCTGGTTACCAAACACACACTATTGTGTGAAGCGCCCTTGAGGAACTATTGGGTTGTTGTGAATTTTGTGTCCCTGTGAATCAAGAATTTTTTTTAACACTTTATTTGACGGCTATCTTTATAACGCATTACAAATATATGTATAATGCATTATAATCACGTTATAGCACTGTTTAACTATTGTTATAAGCACTCATAAATGATCATAATGCTTTATAGCAAGAATCATATCACATTATAAAGCATTTTATTATGACTTACAAGGTCAGGTATTATAATGTGTTAACAATAGTTGTATTGCATTATCTATGTGGGCATTGTCAGTGAGTTGTTCACAGTTATAACACATTATAATACCTGACCTTGTAAGTCATGATAAAACGCTTTATAATGTGTTATGATTATTGCTACAAAGCATTATGATCAATTATAAGTGTTTTTATCTATACAGTGCTATAACGTGATCATAACGCAATATACATATATCTATAATGCGTTATAGACATAGGCGTCAAATAAAGTGTTCTCTCTTTGCTGACAAAAAATTAAACATGTTTATCTTTGCCAAGAAAATGATATAGATGTAGAAAGATTCAGCAGAGGGCTTTCCATCGCCTTGTTTGACACCTACTCTTTGGCATTAGGATTAAAAATAACTCCTCAAAAATAAATAATCATGTACCTGATGGTTTGTTTTGCTTTTATAGGTCAAACAGAAGCATCAGGATTAATTTCATAAGCAGCTAAAAACTCCTCACAGGAGCTTTAATTTTCAGTCTGTTTTTTGTAAGTTTTGTTCTGTTAATGCTAATCAGCTCGAGCTGATTATAATCCTCCGCTGCTGGCGGTGTTTGTTCTTTTAATTAGCCATCAGATTAAGAACATGGACATCATGAAAAGGCTGACTTGAGTTTGCTAGCTTGTTGTCTTTCTGTAATGTTATTTTTTAGCTGCCAAATCACGCTCTATTTCTTTCCAACCTAAAAATGACAACAGAAGCATATATGTCTTCTCTCATCTAGTCCATTGGCAGACACTCACACTTCCTTGAACATCGTGATAGAGGCAATGAAAATGAATAAGCAGATTTACTCGCTTTACTGATCACTGCAACGTGTTTTCTGATTTCATATCAGTGCATGGAAAGCGGCTGTAATGCAAAACCCTGCAAGTATAACATAAAAGGTTGCACGTCTAATGTGGTAATAGTGCGGTTAGAGAACGCTAATCACGTTTTTATTGCTGAATTCTACTTCTCTTCAATTGGGGGTTTAATGTTTATCATGATTTATAATAAGGCCATTTCCTGCATCGAAAAATACTGCATATCCAGCGCTCTTGACAGATGCTTGTTTCATGCTCCATTAGCTCCTAACATCTGTGCAGGTAATGAGCCGAGGTTAAACTCGTGTGGCCTCCGTGTTTATGATTGAGGCCAGATTTTTTAGTTTGGCCTTGAAAAAGAAGGAGAAGAGTAGATCATGAGTGTAAAGCATAAAACAACATGCCAAGGAGTACAAGGACAAGACACCTGCTCGTCTATATTACAGGAAATCATCACATGACAGGACAACTTCAGGAGGAGAAAAGGAAGAAGAAAACACAAGAGGTTGGAAGGGTTAAGGTCAGAGATCACATTTTGAAGAAGACTCCATTTGTCAGGCATGGCATCCTTATCATCCAGGGCCAGAGGAGCGACAGCTGAGGGAGGTGAGACAGCACAGAGCTCACCTGGGGCCACAGGACAATCAAAGCAAAGACAGGTGTTTTACTGCGACAATTTGAGCAAAGTTTGAAAGGGTCTCTTCTTTTTAATTTAGAGGAAAATAAATGGATTTGGTGATTTTCATCAGAGCAGATCTGCTCAGTGCCCTCAGAGCCTGTGCTTCTGTCCTTCAGCTGTGCCCAGGTGGACAAGATCAAGAGTTATAGAGTAATTCCAGCTGATCATCTGCGCCGGATAAACTCCACTGAGCAACCCAACAGGATTTCAAATCACCTTTCACTGTGGCGTGGAGGTGAGAGCTCATATTAGACTGTGTGTGTGTCTGAAAGAGGCATGCGCGGTTTTAATTCAGGGCACACAAGGAGGTCTGTGCCTGTGTGTGTTTGTGTGTGTGTGTGAACTCAGATTCTTGCGAGCGTGTGAAAGATCTTTGGGTCGCAGGTGCAGTCATGTGGTGTCGGGGTGTGTTTGGTTTCAGCCACAGTGGAGTGAGAGTTCAGTGTCACAAGGCAAGGAAATAGCAACTAGCCTCAAGAGGCGGGTTTCAGACCAGTTCACTTCCAGTTCCACCAGTTCACCAGCTAATACAATTTCCACAATAAAAGCCTTTTCCTATTAGCTTTGTGTCCAAAACTGAAGGAATCCATCTGAGCAGGCGATGAAAAACTGAACTGTCCGGTTCAACCTGAGACTGATGCAATTGCTGCTACTTGTAAAACCAAGATCTTATATATTTATATATTATATTTGAAAGGCAACATGACCTTTAATGGTGCGATTCCACCGAGCAGCCTGGTTTGGTTTGGACCAGTTTGCTATGGTAAACCCTGACCGTAACTGTGTTTCCGCAGCAGGCTGTGCCCTGGTGCGGTGGTAGAAAGATCAGGTGCGCCTTACAGTGCGAAAAACAAGGTAACTTGAATGGTTACAATCAGCTGCGATCGGCAGATACGGCCTTTTTGTAGCCGTTCCAGATGCGGTGGAAATTGGGGCTAACAGTTTGTATAGAAAATTAAATTGTCATTATTAAATGACATCATCTGTGACAATAACAAGAGTCTGGTGAAAGAGGAGGTGAACTGACCATCGCCCTCTGCAGAAAAGTACCTGGACAACGCTGCTGCAGCTGCTGATGGCGGTCTCTAAAACAGCAGATTAATCCAGCATGAGCCAGAACAGGACAGGATGGAGTGAAATGGAGAAGCAAGATGAGATAAGTTTAAGATGAATCCTCAAGTTTACATCCTCAGACATATCCATTGTTCAAAACATGGCCAAAAACACCATTTATAGGGAGAGGCATATCTTAAAGGCTGTTATAAAAGTGGTGAAAAGTACTTAAAAGTATAATAGCTTTATATTTTTTTAAATATGAATTTTTATGCTTAAATTAAAATGTCATCATTAACTTGTAAAAGTGAGATGAAGTGAGTTTATAACACATTATAATACCTGACCTTGTATGTCATGATAAAATGCTTTATAATGTGTTATGATTATTGCTCTAATTCATTATGATCATTTATGAGTGTTTATATCTACAGTTATATGGTACTATAACAGCATTATAACGCATCATACATATATTTATAATGCGTTATAGAGATAGGCCTCAAATAATGTATTACCAAAAAGACTTATAAAACAACAAATACAAAAGCAATCTTTTGTAAATTTACAAGTTTTTTATAGTGGATGAACTATAAAATCCTCAACTTGTTTAATAGCCTTCTAAATATAACAGTCTTTTATTTTACTTAAGTCACATTATTTGCAGGGTCAGTATTTTAAAAACTTAAAGGAGTTGTCTGTCTGAAGTCAACATCTGGCCTCAACAAAAGATAATGTTCACACTGAAATGCAAAGAAACCACACACAGCAATGCAATGATTTCACTATAATCACCACCCTGATAAGGCAAATACCTAATTGATTGGGGCGGCCAATCAGATTTAACGGTTGGCTATGCCCACCCCTGGCCACCCTCTGGCTACACCACTGACCAACAGAACTAAAGGAACTTAAGTTTGTCCACTGACTGATGTTGGCATTGGTATGAAATGAATGGAATAAGTAAGAGAGTAAAAATCATCTTGCTCTTCTCCTCTTCTTAGTTTCAACCACTCTACCATGCCAGGAGGGAGCACACTTCACACTGTTTTCACTTTGTCTCTCTTTTCACAATACCAGAGGGTATTATAACTGCTGTTAATACAAAATAAATTACAGAAAGTCTCTACTGTTCATCATTAGAAGATGTCCTAAAGTGTCCTAAACTAAATCTTCCAAATATTTGACAGAATAAGAAATAACAAAAACATCACCTCATCTCTTCAGAGGACTTCTTCAAAGACGGAGCAATTATAAACTGTGTCGAAGCAGAGAACAACATATTGTTCATGATGTTGTTTTTCTACCTGTGTGGTATTGCTGTGATTAACATTTTAACAGAGTATCTACTGCCCTGAAAGAGACACAACACAAACATCATTTCCCCTCAAAGATGGGTCTTCAAGCACATGTTAAATGTTATATCACAGCATTATCACACACATACAAGACCAACTCCATGTTAAAGTTGCAATCCTTTTTTTTAGCTGTGGTTTAATTTGTCTTGGGAAATTTGCTTCACATGTCACAAAGAGTTCTTGAACCTAAAAGATGTGAGTGACATGGCTTCACAGAAACTGAACGCTTATTTTAACCAACAGTCTTTCATCGCACGTTTGAAGCAAATATGCCTCATATACAAACTGAGATCAAGAGGATTTATCAAAATCTGTGCCGGCCATATGGAAAACTGTTGGTGTTCAATTTATTTATAAGAATAAAACTTTCTGTCACAATTCCTTTACATAGCAGAACATGTCAAAAAATATAAGGATTGTACCTTTAAGTGTTTCCATTGAAAAGACCTATTAGAGGGATATATCCAGGTTCCACACACTGCAGCACCCACATGAAACAGGAATCCAGAGTGATTAATAACAGCATTATTAGACATGGAGAGGAGCATTGATGACAGTATTATCATTTAACAGCATCAAATATAGGAAATAATTAAGCAAAGTTCAATAAAAAAAAACGTTTAAAACCTCAAAGTTTATGAGTTTAACCTTCAGCTGTCCAACTCGTGCTTGTCAATGAAGTAAAGAATCAAGTTCTCTTAACATCACATGCATTAGTGCTAATAGTAAACCTAGTACGCCTGACATATATCTACACTATGTGGAGGAGTTTGCATGTGATAGCCAGAGAAATGGTTACTTTATTCAGTGATTTGCACTCACATTGCTTCGCCAGATCTGCGAAATCAAACCAGATAGTTAAACCATGAGATGGAATTATGGTTTGACTCAAACGTATGAAGTGAGTGTGTGTTTTCTCAATTTCCTTTCCTAAATTGCTTGAACTCATAGTTGTTTTTCTTTTAAAAGAAGCTTAAGTTCTGTTTCAATTTTTTTTTTTTACTCTGGCAGCTGTAATCAGATTAATGTAATCTTTTTACATGTAATCCAATTATCTCCCCACACTGCCTGTCACATTGTGCTCACCAGTAGAGATAGTAGAAGAAGGAGAGGACAAAGAAGGACAGCTTGCACCAGGCCTCCTTCAGGCAGAACTTGAGTGTGTCACCGTTCATCACCGACGCCGGGTCGTACAGCAGCTCTTTAGTGTCCGTTGGGGAGTGAAAGTACCTACCACAGAGGGCAAAACCACATCGCGGGTAGTTGACCCGTTCCAGACCCCGAGAGGGAGGAGGCGCGGAGGGATGGAAGAGGTAGATGGGGGAGACCATGGATGGGAATGGGGGGAGGTATGGAAAAAGATGGCATGATGAGTTAGGGTGGACAGTATCATGCAGCAGACGTGGGTGAAATAGTTTGAACATGTTTGTGTTAAATGTTTGCTAAAGCCTGAAAAGAAAATTCTTATATCTGTCAACCCTACCAGGTAGATACTGAACAAAGACTGAACAATATCAATCAATGCACAGTTTCAGCAGAAAGACAACATGGATTCATTGTTGAAAATGTTATTTGTGAGAGTTTCCTTACATGATGTAGAAACTGAATGTTTAGTTTTACTCAAATGGATCCATGAGTCTTTTCTGTTGATAACATTGACCAATAAAAACACAGATAACTCTAATGGTCAACTGGCCGGCATTCTGTTTAGGTTAAAAAGCACATCTGACCTTTACAGCATTAGCTGCGTCTACATGGGCACAAATAATCGGAATAAATGCGTCGTGTAAACGTCAATCAGAAGATTCTGATCCAATGCGGCTCAATCGGAAAGAAATTGTATTCCGATTGAGAGGGGTGGTTGTTGCCGATCGTTATTCCAAAACGCGTCCTGAAAACAATTATTCCGATGACTCTTTTACCTGACTCGGACTTCACTCTTTTGCCTTTGGCTTATTTATTGAGGTCAGTACAGGAGGTTTCATTATTGACACTCTGGCATAAAACACAGGTGCCGTGTCTGCTCCTCCGGTAACATAACAAGGCGTACATACAGCGTAATGATGTCACATCTGCACAAAGATTGCAACCTTTGACAGAACAGTAAAATGAGTACGCAAGGGCGCCATCTAGTGACAACATTTAACAAGGAGAAAACTCCTGAATTGGATGGAGTGAGCAACAACCACGTTTGTTGGTTTGTTGACAGCACAGGTGTAAATACAACTCTTCTTCTGCGGTTGTTTTAGAGAAATCAGACAACTCTGTGCATGTCCAAATGCTTCTAATCTGAATAAAACTTGGTGCATGTATACACACGTCATAATCGGATTATTTGATTTTGCACCCATATAAATAGTGGATTCAGATAATCCGATCCCTCAAATTTTTAATTGTCTTAAGAAATTTTGCCCACGTAAACATGGCTACTATTTCTGTCTAAAAGAGTTTTAAAAAGTTGTGGTCAGGATAACACTATAGCTTCTCCTTTCCTTGACCCATCTACACTCCTGATCAGAGGTTACTACAGACGAGGTTTGTCTGAGTGGAGATGTCATTACATTTAAACCCTGCAGCCATATCTGCTGTAGCTCTAAATTTGCAAAGGTTACAAAAGTCACTTTCAGTATCAGGGTAAAATAATGATTATGCCTTCACCCTTAAGTTTACCTTGGGAAAGCTGTTACCAATTTATGAAGACACTGAGAGCTGAACTCTCAGAGCTGGCTTATCATTTCAATTATCGAGTTTGTCCAAGCAGCAGTAATCTCAGACAGGTATTTTAAAACCATATCTAGGAGGGCATCAAAGGCATAGCTATGAGCTTGCATCAACCGACTGAGCCTGAAAAAAACAGGAAAAAAATCTCATAGTTACAGTGTTGTAACTCCTCAAAAGAAATTGCTGCTGACTTTTACCCCTCCTGTTTTTCCATAGCTGCATTTTTCCTCAATAAGAGACCCTAAAACCGGTACAGTTCATAATCCCTCAGGCGCCTCTTAGAGTCTGTTTGAAAGATCTGCTTTTTGACCCACAAAAATGCCAGTCACTTGCTGAAATTAGATGCTGTCTGTGAAAAACTCTTTAAGGGAGATATAGGGGTTTATTTGTGTTTTTTTCAAATATTCTTTAAAAAGCAATAATCATGAAAGATTAGCAGGTATTACTGAAAGTACGGGTAGGTAAGAGCTTTGCTGAGGACGCCCTGATTGGCTAGACTCATCTCATGATAAAAGATGTTTCATACTTGAATAAAATGCGGATATGAAAGAATATTTGAATAGATATTCAAATATATTTTCACCCAGGTCATTTATGCTCTCATAGAAGTATCAGGCCTGGGGTACATTTGTGAATCTAAAACCAGTCCCAATTAACTTTTCATGACACATTATCTCTCATTTCCATATTAAAATCACTGACTGACTGAGAAATCCACCTCTGAGTACAATCTGCATGATATTGCCATGCTCGCACCTTAATCAGAATTTATAGAAACAAAGAGTATGTTTCAAGCTGAGTGAAATTAATTATCACTGTAAACAATATGCAAAACCTGGCAGTAATTAAGAGCAGAGTGGGTTTGGGGGTTGGTAAGATGTTTCCTGGAGATTCTGCGCTCATGTGAGAGTTGTTTTAGAGGGGCTGTTCGAATTATGAAACATAAAATAGTCATACTTTAAATGAGGAAAATCACCATGAGGGAACACAAAGAGGGAAATCTAACTCCTCCTTAGCCTACTGCTGAAAGAAGGAAGTTTGTGTGCATGATACACAACTACTCTCTGTGGAGGAAAATTTGCTTAAAATGGACCCCAGAGCTGATACAAATGAACAGGATTTTGTAACAATGGAAATTGTGTAACAGACCATTTGCATCAAATATTGTACTTCTCTAATATTCAGTACACAAATACATTCAAAAAGTCAACACCCAGCTCAGGTAGCGTGGTTCAACCTCCATCATTATGCATGTGGTCTGTTCAGTCATGAACCAAATCGACAGATGGCCATTCTGGATTAATGATCGTGGATGGTTCATGGCTATGAAATGACTTTTTGTTTTTAATTTGTTTGAATGTACATTCACCAAGTCACAGTTCTCTTGGTAAATAGATGACTTCATGTATGAAAACCTCAGTTACTTTGGTTAAAATGCATTTTGATGTATGATTAATGTCACAGAAGGTGTTGAATGAGTTGCTGAATTAATTCCTCATGTATTTCCAGAAAAGATACATGCAAAATGACTGATGAGGTAAACAGGTTAAAGTTTCAAATCCACAAATACGCCATCCGCTTGCCCTCTCAAATATCATCAACAATATTAAGATAATAGAAAAAACAAAATCAGTCACATGGTAGAAATATAAAACGCACTGCTTTAAGTCATTAGCATTATAGATGTGAATCTAACAGAGGACACATTTAAAACATACACACAACAGAAGAGTATTAGGGCAGGAGATGAGAATGAAATCAGTCTCAATAAGGTAGTTTAAGGACAAAGTCTAAATGTTGAGAATAAGATGCATTTTTGAGAGAAAAAGTTTCAATTTAATATTAAAAAAAATAACTTGCCCTAATACTCTTCTGTAACACACAGATCAACTGGCAGCCAAAGGGTTTTAAAAAAAACAGAATAACAGGACCGCTCTTCACTCTCACACTAACCTAATGTGATCAGTTTTATTCTGGCCAACACTGATTTTCAATAATGAATGAAACATCATCCAGGTCTTTGTTTTTGGGTCTTCTCACTAACTGAGGTTCTTCACTTCATACGTACATGTATGTATGTATTCATGCATGCATGTATGTATGCAATGCATTGCATTAAGGTGAATCAAATCCTAAAATGGTCACTTTTTTTCATTAATTTGTGACTTATTTCTCAAAAAGTTCTGACTTTACTGTGAATCCTCCAAGTACTATTCAGCGCTGAGTGTGTGCTAGTTACAGGCACTTATATGGGTGCAAACAAAGTGCAACATTGCTATGAAATCCATGTGTTACGTTTTTTAGAACAACCCCTTTCAGCCATTCAGTACCATTACAGGGCTGCCAAGTTCCAGAAAATGACACGAGTGAGACTTTGTCACTCTAATGGTGTGGCCTTTTTTTAAACATCTATTTATACCTGAAGACTGATGTCCTCACCTCCATGCCAGCTGCTCTCCCTGCACTGTGGCCTCCTAATGCTCGTCTTAATTAACCAGTTATTTGAAATGAAAATTTTAACAAGAATTTTCACAAAATACATTTATTTGTCAATGTTGCAATGTTGGATTGGTCTAGGATTGGTTATCTCAGTCAGTCAATCAGAGTTACTTGAACTACAGCAAGCCAAGTTTATTATCATGAAAGAAAGAAATACAGAGTATTTGGAGAAATATAAGCGTGAGAAATGTCAAGTGTGGCGTGTGGTGTGAGAATGGGTCAAATTGCGTGACTGTCACACTCAAATCGTGATGCTTGGCAGCTCTGCCATTACCTAATTAGTCATTATTAGTGTCTTTAAAAGCTAAATACCCATGTATATAAACAATGTATAAATTAGTCACTACATAAATGCCATTGTCCTTGCAAGTAGTTTAGTTTAACATTTTGGGGGTGATCAGTAGTATGCCAAACAACACTGTCCAAGCTAGCTTCTAAAGTTTTGGTGCACAGATGAACAGATGGCATGTTGCATTTCAGCGTACTTTTTTAATAACATATCCACTTTTTATTTCGAACTAATAGCGACTAAATTTCCTGCATTGCCATTATTGGAGAGGTAAGATAAAAGTTGCATCTGTCACTCAATTCACCTTCAACAGGTTCAACAACTTCAAAGCTATCTTAAAATTTGAGTATCTGCATGGACACAAAGGACAATATCATGTAAAGATAAGTGAGGGCAACTCTCCAGAGCTAAGCCTTTTTTAACCTTTACCTCACTGTTCTTCCTATCCGTGAGACGTCTCTCAGTGTGTCTGCTAAGAATCTGACCTGGGAACAGACCCTAAAAACGCACCTGTACACTCTACAAAGCATCGCATGGACATGGGAATACAAAGGCTAGCATGGATTCACACAGGTAGGCACATACATCTGTCCTTATTTGCTGATGTGAAGACATCTTAGGAATATGTGAAGTCTATGCTTTAATAGCTCAGTGTCAGTGTCCCCCTCTCTCTCTCTCTCTCTCACTTTCTTCTGATTCACCTTGTCAATATTAGATATCTCTCCTATCACTCACTGCCTTTCTCTCTCGCCTCACAGTCCTGCCTCCTGTGACTTCCTCTTTCATTTTTCAGCCTCCTCCATCTCTGTCTTCTTCTCTCCTTGTCTTCTCATCTTTCAGCTGTGCAGAAGGCAGCATCTGTAGCTGTTGGGCATCTGGCACATTCTCCAATTAATAAGACAGCAAGATGTTTTTTCACTCTCTTTCTCCTTTCCTCTCTCTTCTCCTCTCCTCTCCTCTCCTCTCTTCTCAGCAGTCTACATCAAACCCACACTGGTGGTGGGAGCAGCGACAAAGAGAAAAGCAGACAAAGATGGAGAGGCAAAAGAAATCGAGAGATTACTGACTGGTGACCCATTTTTCAGACACTGACTCTCAGGGGCTGAAGATTGGTATCTACTGTGCATTTAGCTTATACTGTATGTCAATACTGAAGTTTGACACTGTAAAGTGAACCCAGTGCTGGGCAACCATTCCTAATCCATTTTCTGGTTATTTATCAGTAGTACTTTTCTAAATTTGCTTTTGATATTGACTTTAATTTGAAAAGAAAAATATTTTTTTTTTTTTTTTTTTTTTTTTAATTTTTTGAATTTGGTTCGCTCTAAAGGAGACCTATTTTACTAATTTCTTCTTCTTCATAGCATTGCTTTGATTGCAACCCAGAAAATTCCTTCTTTATCTTGTACTGGAGGTAAATCGCTATTTTAGTGTCTCTCCCTGAAATGGGAAGTTTTGGCTGCTTTTACACTCATTTTAAGAGATACACAAATGTGGGTGTTACTTTTTACACAGCTTTGTTGTTATAAAACAACCTGAAAGTTATGTGGCTAGCCATTAGCAGCTACTAATGCTACGTTCCAGTTACCTCTGAAGTCAGATGTTGGAGCCGGGAATGATGCTTCACCCAAGTTGACGGCCTTCCAATAAACAAGTCGGAAAACCAAGATGGACGCCTACTGTTAGGCGTTGTTAGCTGTTGTTTACAATTGTCAGCCATTGTTGGCCGTTGTCAATTGTTGTTAGTTGTTGTTAGCTATACCAGTTGTAAACAATGCATAACACAGTATTTTACTGTACAAACACCATAGCACTGTGTTCACAGTTAGACGTTGGGCAGTACAACATAAACCACTTATTTAATTTCACAAAAACAAAACAGAGGTGCTAATAAATAATACATTACGAGAGCTTTTGCTGTTACTCTATACTGTTGATGCACTGCACTGCCATTTTGGAATATGACGTTGTTGTCAAGTTGGGGTTGGTGAGGACTGTCTGACTTTCCGAGTCAGAAATCCGACTTCAGGGGGGCATTTCAGATGAATTTCCCACTCAGAGCTCGGAAATACAGACTTGGAACACAGCATTAGCTTCGCCATTTTCGCACTTTGGCTTAAAAGCCCTTTAGCTACATGAGCTGCAGTTATATCTTTACCTACTTGTTGTGGTTTGGAGCCTTTATGGATCGTCTTCGTAGGTGAAACAGGCCAAAGTTACAGTAACAGTTCAAATGCAAATCTATATTGGCCTCTGTTTACAGAGGAGTCTTGGCTGAAGTTGGGAGCGTGAACAGTAACAGTATTGCTGTTCTATCCAGTAAAAAAAGCAAACTTGCCACTGTTTTCATGTGTCTTCATCTTTGGGAAGAGACAGTAAGTTGGATTGTCTTTCACCACCATTTTCGAATAAAGTGGCCTATGGGCATTGGAAGGTTGCATAGGAAATCCGGGGGGGTACACTATTTGACCAGAGCGTGATCATAGCCATTCTCCCGCTGAACATTACTTCAAAATGCCGGTCTCAGAAAATGGAGCAAATCTGGGAAACACTGAGAAAATTTCGGCTTTAAATTTTTACAGTGACAGGAGGCGGAGTCACATTGTCCATTCTATATACAGTCTATGGTCTACACACTGAGTTAAAAAACTAAGCTGTAACTTCTGTAAATCTAGGAAAAAGCTATCAGAAGGATGAAATGAAGCCAAAAAACAGGCAACCCTCCCACCCCCTTAAGAGCAGAACATCTGGATGGAGAGAAAGGTTAGCTGAAAACTGATGCTAGGACCCATCAGTCATCAGGACAATAAAGCCTTTGGGCAGATTGCCAGTTTTTTGAGGGCTTTGGATGAAAATAGTGATTATATGATAATGAATTCAGGATATCGGAGCCAAGAGCTCCTTTTTCATGAGCTTCAGATTGTTTACAGTCTGGCAGGCCACAAACTCATGAATTCATTTGGAGAGGAGAGAGGTCGTCTTTGTTTTGTTTTCTGTACCTGTTTAGCATAGATCGCGTTGATTTTGAAGATATTCCTTACTGTATAATCTTTGGAAGCCAGGACACACACAAGTACACTCACACACACACACACATACACATACACACACACGCTCGATTAATTAGTTACCTCCATGTGTTGTAGAAAAGCAGGGGGATGTTGAGACCCACAGTCAGCCACTCTTGGGCACAAAGGAACATGATGCAAAAGAGCCCATGGATGGAGTACTCTGGAAGCACCAACTAAAAAGAGACAGAAACAGGAGGATAAGTCAGAGAGAGGAGGAGTGAAGCAGTAATTGATTGTTCACACTGAAATTCCTGATAAAGCTGAACAACTTGTGTGTCAACAAACAGTCAGGCGTCTGTCTCTTCCTCTTCTTTCAGACGAAGAGGGTCATGTTCATACAGCTTTAATGGCATTCGCCCTGCAACAAGAACCTCTCTGGTGTTCTACTACTGGTTAGAGGAATTTCATTATCATTTTGCTGTCTGAGGGGTTAAAAAAAACACTCCTCTAGTATCCTCATTAGCATTCAAATCCTTAAACTAGCCTATATTTAGCTACTGCAAATCTGTCTATCTGCAAGCATTCCAAATGGCTAAATACCCCCATCTAGATTATTTAGAGCTTAGCTTCACAATGATGTAGCCCACATCGATGGCAGGGCTCCATCATTATCATAATGACTGGAGTGCTTGGCCCTCAAAATTCCTCCTGGCAAAACTGCGAGGGTTACAATGTGTGCGAGTGTCCCCCCAGCAACAAGCAACAATAGCTGCTTTTGTTATCTCAAACAGGGGTAAAGGCAATAAAACGAGCGTGCATTTGTTTAGTCAGAGTCTGACCAATTCACAGAAAAATACATATTGTATGTTAGCAGCATAGGCTTCGATTTGACTTAGTCAACTTTAAATAAATTGAGAGTCTACTCCTTCAACTTGTTTTGTTTTGTGCGTTCAAGAGTTACAGTTTTTAAGATCCTAGCTTCAGAAAACTGCAATCAAAAAAAGCAGACCCCTGAACAACATGTGCTTTTTTTCAAAACCCGAAAATAATGCAGTGTTGTAAATACAGTAGATATGGACATTGACTCCTGAACTGAAAATCATGAGACTTAAGGATGTGGCCAGCTGTCGATGGTTAACGATGGTTAATGTCCCTGTTTTTAAGAATAACCGGGTACGTATAGGACCTGAGTCCTTCCTCTGAGCCTGACACTTACTTATGTTGTTAGGATGTCTGTATTGGTCCAAAATCAGAGTGAAACTACATCACACATATCAGATCAACCTGCAACAATAAGTGTGCGGTTATTCTGTGATTTGACCTTTTCTTGTAGCATCCAATAGCATCAATAGACAAAGTGGATGACATTTTTTTATCTTTACTCTCAATTTGATCAATACTTAGTGTAAATATGTGTATTAGCTGGGTAATAAGTGGGAAATGTATAAATGCATGAGGTTATCAGAAGAAAGTACCTTAATCCTATAGCAGACGATTGAATATCCTTATTAGATTCACTAAGCTTAGATTCAGTTCAGCATTTACACTCCAGCAGCAAATATCTATCAGCTGCAAATGTGGTCTGTTTTCAAAAGTAAAAGAAGTGAGTACAATGTGAGATACTGAACGTACTGTGAGAGAAACTTCATTTAAAACTGAGACTGGAACAGAGGAAATCCATAAGATATAGCAGCACTCATAGTGAAAGCGGGGAAGAAATTGCCATTTCAAGGGAGCTCAGCTTCATCAGAAGACACCAAGAGCAAAGAGAGGCAATTATCCTTCGACTTATTCTCTCTTTCAAATCACAATATGCTGTCCTTATATAAGAGTTGTCATTTCTTCTCATTTAGACAGCAGGCCTATCCAGCTCTAAAGTTATTTCACTTTAATAAACTCATGGGTACTAAATGTCCCTCACCTGCTCCTTTTTGAACCTGGCTGTGTTTAAATGACATAATCCAAACTTAGCTGGAGTTTATGCATATTTTAACACCCTTATTATTGACTGGCATGTTCTTATTTTATGGAAAGTGTCTTTTCAGGGTATAGACTCCTGATATTTCATTAACATATTCACATAAACAACAAAATGCACTAGGGTCAGCCTGATCAATAATTCAGAATGATGCCCTCATGCTTCTTTATTTCCCTACAACAGAAACACAAACGTGAATAAGAGAAGCTCTGATTTTTTTCTTTTCAAACACTGTTTCCTACGGTGGCCCTGAAGTGCAAAACACAACAACATCTGGCAAAAAACACGACAACATTTTACAAAACACAACAACATTTCAGAAACACAAAAAAAATTTCTCAAAACACAACAACATTTAGAAAACGCAACAACATTTCAGAAAACAAGAAAAGTTTTTGGAAATCATGAAAACATTTCAAAAACACAAAAAACCTTTTGCAAAACACACCACTTTGAAAACAGCATTTTGCAAAACAACAACATTTAGAAAATGCAACATTTCAGAAAACATTTTGGAAATCACGAAAACATTTCAAAAACACGAAAACATTTTGCAAAACAAAAAACGTTTTGAAAAGACTCACACTTAAGCATTGAGCTATCTGACTGAGCAGTAAAATGTGTATTGTAAAATGTTTCACAAAATGTGTTCTTGAATTTTTTTTGTGTTTTGAGAGCTGTTGTGTTTTGGGAAATATTTGTGTGTTTTCTGAAATGTTTTTGTGTTTTGTGAAATGTTTTTGTGTTTTCCAAAAATGTTTTTGTGTTTTGCAAAATGTTTTTAAGGTTTCAAGATGATTTTGTGTTCTCTGAAATGTTGCTGTGTTTTCTAAATGTTGTTGTGTTTTGTGAAATGTTGTGTTCTCTGAAATGTCGTCGTGTTTTGCAAAATGTTGTTGTGTTTTAGGAAATGTTTTTGTGTTTTCAAAATGTTGTTGTGTTTTGTGAAATGTCGTCGTGTTTTGCAAAATGATGTTGTATTGTGTTGTTTTGCACTTCAGGGCCACTGTACTTTTCTGTACTGAAGCACCAGATGTTGCTCCAAACCAAAGCCTGAGAGTGTTGCACCTCATCATATTGCGTTAGACTAAGCGTGTGCATTTTCTTTAGCCACCACGAGTTGGCATGCAAAATCTAAAAATGCTGCTTGCCGCCGACTCCAGCCTGTCCAATGAGATCTTGCGGTTAAAACTGCTTGCTATGCAGATCTCTCTGAATACCTGAATGACCCAAACATCTTACTTCACTGACATCTGCAGGAGCTTTCCGCTGCTGTGTTTAATGTTAATCACAAAGAAAGCCACTTCATTTCTCATGTATATTTTAAAGTGTACAGGCCACAGCGTTGCGGTGCCATTCTGGACCGCCTGGTCTTGAACGCTGCTTTAACAAGGTAGCATGAATGATGCATTATTCAGACGGCCACGCACCTCCTATTAACAGAAAAACACATTTTCATGGAATAGCACTTCAACAGCAGGGAGCGAGAAAACTGCTGCTTAGACTAAACTTAAAATATCTACTTGCTTTCAGAAATACAGCAGGGGAGCTGCATGCACAAATAAAAACACAGTAATGCAGCATGCATGCAGCACATGGACAAGGACACACAAAGTCTTCTCTTTCTACATTCTATAGTTACAGGAGCAAACACCTGGTGTACCATGTATGCCTCATTGGAGCAGGCACTGGTTCAACTCCCTGCCACAACCCCCGCTCTATACATGTCCATTATGTCTTCACTTGGCCTATCCACTTAATATAATGCACACCATTCAGAGAGGAGATGCACTGATCCAAATTTGGATAGGATATCAGCGCTGATATTGACAAATTAACTGGATTGGATATCGGATGAATGATGCCGATCCAGCGTTCCGATCCAGTCTTTTTTTCTTTTTACACTTAAAACTCTGCGATCCTACATGACACCATTAATATTGTTTACAGTTTCTCAGGAACTATGCCGTGTATCTCTATGGGACGAAAAGTGTTCAAAAGCTAACCCTTTTGGGGATCTATTGTGGGTTTCCAGGCATTTCTACACCTCCTACATGGTTTCCAATCCAGCCATGAGAAATAGGTGTTTGATCAAAGACGTTTGATGATAAATCCGCAGTGATATACCGGTGAAAACATGATTAATTATTAGGTTGTTGTGATAAAAAAAAAAGATTGCTATCGCTAAATGCCGCTAATGTCTTCAGGGTTTGACAAGCTGTTTTAATGACGTCTTTTTCTGTCAAACTTTTAAACCAATTACACGGTCTCAAATTCTTCTTCTATTGTTCCCTTGACAGTAGTGTCCAATAAGAGGCAACCAAAGATCAGCAAGAGACAAGAAAGTTCCCTGCTTGTCTGCAAAATAAGAAATAATGGTCCTTAACGCTTGGAAACAAGCTAAGAAGTGATTATGAGAAGTATGACGTGGCCCTCTGTCTCACCCCAGACAGAAACTGCCTCAAGAAGTGGCATAAACAACTGTAAATAGCAAGAAACGCCTGGAAGAATTAGAGTAAATATGTAAATAGTTTCTGTTGTGTGTTTGTTCCAATCCCAATATTTCTACTCCTGATGGCCAAGACTTAACAGAATGATGTGCAGGTGAGAAAAGGCTTGGTCAGTGTAGATTTATGTTTATTTTAGCAAAGTACTGTTGGTATAAATTTCTGTTTTTGATTTTTGGATGACTTTGATCATTCTGAATCTACTGTCACATTTGTTTTACATAATTTTTGCACCCATAAACTGACAGCTGAGGTTGTCCTAAAAAAAAGATGTGTTTATATTTGCTGTGCTTGAAAGGATAGAGTGGCTACATAGATTTTTACAAAAAACAAACGAACAAACAAAAAAACAGGCAGACCAAAAATAGCGAAATATAGTTGGGACTTCTAAGGGTTACTTATTTTTTCTTTTAATTCATGTAAGTCTAATTCTTTTTGCTGTGTGCTAATGTGCAAAATTTATATTTATGTTAATTTGTTACTTTTTTTTACAAGGCTAATATCAAGCCTGATGCCGTCACTCACTGGGCAAGGTATACAGTTAATTCATTCAACAGTAGTATTGGATCGGTATCTGATATCTGCAGATATGCTCAGCCCAGATATCGGTATCGGATTGATCAGAAAATATGGATCGGTGCATCTCTAATTCAGAGCAAAGCAAACTTAGTTAATGAACTGTCTGTCAGCACCAACATTTACACCAAACAACACAACTACTGAGACAAAAACAAGAAATTATGATGAATTCTACTTTGACTTCATCTCCATAAACGATGGACCAACCATACAAAAAAAATCACAAACTGAAATTTGCTTCCTTTATAAAATTGACTTGTTTTTTTCAGTTTCATTAATATTGTAATTCTGTATTTTATTCAAATGATGTTAAAAGTGTACGTTTTCAGAGTACGTTTGTTATGAACAATGTAAAATCTGCATAATCACAAAGCTCTAGTATTTAGTTCATGTATTTGCACATGTAAAACACAAGTGAACATGTTTAGTAGTTGAATGCGTTGCCTACTTTCTTTCTTTTTTTTTTACTGATGCTTAATGACGCTGAGGCTTGAGGAAAATAGTGATGGTGTTTACTGCCACTAACAAAAACTCTGCCAGGTCCAGATCTGTCCCTGAAACCCTCTGGAGAATTGATTCCTTTATTTCTCAGCTCAGTTAATGTGACATGCTTCTTGCCAGAACGAAATGAAAACACACGTAACATACCAAATATGTACAACTACCAAACCCCACTGCACGCTGACCCTGATGCAATTCCTCTATAGTCACTGAACACGTCCACTGAATGGTAGATGTGTTTGTGTGGGTGTGTATTTGAAAGTATTCAAGCAGATACATCCAATTTTCATGCTAATGGGTAACAAATTATTTTCCTCCTTCATGTGCACACAGTCTAGCAGACCCTCTTAGCTCTGTGTGTGCTTATGCTTGTGTGTGTGTGTGTGTGTGGGTGGGTGTGTGGAAGTGTTTATATATTGACAGAGAGACCCATCTGGGACTGCGCCTGGATGTTACTGGGGATCTGTCTCTGGCTGCGGTGCCTGGGGGATGCCCTTCCACCCATCTGGTGCACCCAGGAGCAACACTGATAAGACCCCATTCATGTGGTAATCAGCATCTTGACCTGATAACTACGGGTTTCCCATGATTCACAGCCTCACCGCACTTTAAGACACTTTGTATACATATGAAACTGTAGGATACCGACGCACACACAACAATGATTAGGATTGTTTGTACTGAATGAACTCAGTAATTTATGGAAACATTTACTCGCTCTCATCCAACAACAGATGTAACTTCCTGTGTCTTTGCTTAGAGTTGGCCTTGAGTTTATTGTTTTTATATCGTGTTGTAGAGAGAGACCAGGGATTGTGGGGTGAGGGGATGGATGAGAAAGACGGGGCTTCAATCAGGTATCTATGCTGGGATTTAATTCTTGTGGGAAATCAATCGTCAGTGTGGACACCTTTAAAGAAGTTCCTTTTAGTGATGATACACTTTTGCCAATAATGTCCATCCTTTTCGATGAGTCAGTTACCGTACTATTTTTTTTAGATACAACCAAAATTTGTAAATGATCTGAACCCCATCTCTCAATAATGCCAGTTTGAGATAGACTGAAGCGGAATACTTGAAAATAGAAGGAAAAAGTTGGTTGTCATAGTTCAAAAGCCAGCATCCATGATGGTATGGGGAAAAGTAGCTTACACTGCTAAGCCCAGTAACATCAATACTGAATAAAACAGGTTTTAAGATAATATCTTCTGCCATCCAGACATTTACTTTTTCAGGAATCTTTATATTCAAGTGCGAATCATCTGGTGTACCATGAAACTAAGAGCAGCTAAAATCTTACAGAGAGGCAGAATTTACATTCACAACTACAGAAACTGTTTCCATAACCAAGGATCAGGCCACCCAATCCGTCAAGCACCGGACCCTTCATATTCCTCCAGCGGGTAGTGGGTGGAGGTGGTGCCCATGTGGTTCGTTCGAGCTGGGCCCCATGGGTACAAACCCGGCCACCAGGCGCTCGCCAATGAGCCCCAACCCTGGGCCTGGCTCCAGGGTGTGGCCCCGTTGTCCCTCTGGGCCGGGTACACTGAGTTCCTTAGTTCTTTTTCATGAAGGTCTTCTAAGTTCAAGTCTGGAGGAGTTCAAGTATCTCGGGATCTTGTTCATGAGTGAGGGTATGATGGAGTGGGAGATCGACAGGAGGATCGCAGCGGTGTCAGCAGTGATGCGAACGCTTAACCTATCTGTCTTGGTGAAGAAAGAGCTGAGCCATAAGGCGAGACTCTCGATTTACCGGTCGATCTACGTGCCAACCCTCACCTATGGTCATGAACTTTGGGTAATGACTGAAAGAACATGATAGTGGATACAAGCGGCCGAATGGGTTTCCTCCGCAGGTAGTAAGGCTGATGAACAAATGCCTGACTGAAATAAGGAGATCGATCTGTCTTGAGTACAGAATTTGGATGAAAAAAAATGTGACACAATTCTGCAAACCTCCTCTGACATTACAGTGATTTCACCTCATACCCTTTGTTGCACTGTTGTGTCATTTCACTGAATGAAGGGTACTGAGAGGGAACATGTGAAGAGAAAGATGGGTCGGACTCAAACCCACAAAGAAATAATTTAAGTTCAGCTTGCATCCCACCTCCTCAAATCGTCACTCCCTTCAGATAAAGAGCTCCTGGCCACTCACACTGCTTTTAAAGTCCAAGGGTACCCTGACTAGGGTTGCCTGGACTCAGTCTCCAACTCTCAGAGTCCAATTAGTGTCTGCAGCTGAGACAATACTGTTGGAGAGCTTTTCAAAAGCAACTTTAAAGTCAGAACTGCTTCAAGGGGTGCAGGGTAAGAACACAGGGTCCCCCGGCAATCATCACGACGCACAAAGGAATGAAATAAATGAAGAATAATGGGGGTTGACAGCAAGAGAGAGGGAGCATGCATAACTTCTCTGTACAGCCAACATTTGTCAGCACACCATACTCATTTCATGGCTTTCTATTCTCAGCCTTGAGTAACCGTAACAATGGTTTATATCAACTCCTGGAACTATTCTTGCTTAAGCTGTCTCCCCACTGATGAGTTTGGGGGTCACATATAGTCATAGATTTTGGGAGGAAAAACTCGAGACTGAAGATTGGTGGATGCTGTCAGTAAGAGGAGTGAAAACCTCACAGCTGATAGGTGGATGGATAACATGTAGACAGCAGCCTCCAATGGGCATGTCCCTTGTGGACAGCAACAAAGATCCTCTAACAAAGAGACAACCACTTACTCCAACACATAAAGAAAAACACGCACGGCAAACAGACCACCGCATTAGGTAACCACGACAGATGCATTGCCTCATTCCTCTGCAAGATCTGTGATCCATGTATTGCTTCTAAAACAAATGCACATGCTGAGAAAAGCCACATGGCAGTGGTTGGTAGTGCTCATGGGAAATGCAGTCCATAACTAAGAAAACACAAAGATTAAAAGATCACTTGAAACAACACGCTATGATCCCTCATAGCGTCTTTACAGAGGAACACTACCTCTTTAACAGAGTTTTAATGGCTACCAGAGATCCATCATACATGTGTGTTGTCCATAGAACCATGAATAACAGATTACACCTTTATCCTTAAAGAAAGACGTGCACTTCTTTTAGGATGGATGGGAACCACAGAATCTACTTTTAATCACGGAGGAAAGGCTCATCTAAATAAACACAATGTTGAACAGATTTTTGCAGAATAATATTAGGGAATAATATTACTCAGAAATCCGACAGTCACTTTAAGCACACTAATGTCCACTTTCAGATGTTGTCCTGTAAATGACCTTATCATTAGGGAGAAATTAGCCACTTAATACCAGTTGGTCACAGAATTCATCATATTGTAAGACATATAGGAGATATTAAAAAAGCCTTAAGCTAAAATTAAATCCAAACAGGTCAAAAAATGATGAGTCATTAGCCTTGAGATCAATAAATATGTTACATCCAGTATTTCCATTAGTGGAAATCAATTTCTACTTAATGTTGCCGACACCATTTTGTCAAAGGGCAAGGCTAGTTTGCAAAATAATACGTCTGTCCTGGAAATAAAATCTCTTTAACCATGTCAACAAAACACATACAGCTATGTAAATTGCACCAGTATTTAACATAAGTGATTTATATCTGAGTTCAAAAAGGCCTGGGAAGACTTATGCTTAGTAAATACTTGGATATATTATATTAAAAAGAATTACCTCTGCTGCAGATACAAATCTCAGATGCACAGGAGCTGCTTTGCAAACTAACAGACATATGGTTCTCTCTTTCTTTCTCTAACGCTCCACTTTCAGCCTTATCAAGTACACTCCACTCCACTCCACCTAATTCATTTGGGTCCACTCTTTCATTCTGGGTGAAGCTTGGATGTTCATTTTAGCTGCAGCAGCTTTTCCTCCCCTGCTTGAGATCAAAACAGACCCATTCGCAAATTACTGTCTCAAACCCCTGCAGGACGGAAAACAAAAAAAAACTGGCAAAAAAAAACTACATATTTTACAACCTTTACATGATTTATAGTCCTCTGAGATGCTGTGGAGTAAGGACCCACGTGGTTCATTTAGTTGTTCAAAGTGAATTCATATGAAACAAAGCCCCTAATAAGTCGGCTTCTGTCAGGCAGGAAATATTGCAATCATAAATTCAATGCAATTTATTGAGACATTAAAATGAATGAAGATCAATGTATCTCAAGACAAAATTGTAGCACGCAGTGCAAGTGTTGCATTTAAAAATACTATTCTGCTTGGTTACAAATGTACAACATCTGTGTTTACGACCTTTTTGTTAATTTCATCTCTATGCACACAGTGCACACATGACACCATGGATGAGAGGATGCTGAATTTTTTAAGTCTAGAAGTAGATTTCCTCCTCTGGAAGGACACAATCTACTGCTTATATGGTTAGCCTATGTGAACCTAGCCTATGCTAGCCTAGCCTAAAGGCAACTTGTTATTGCGCGATTGCACGTTAATCAGTGGGTTCTTGTGAGCTCTCACGATTCCTGCTGTCTGTAATCTGCCACAAAAATCGCCTCACAAACGGATCCGGTAGGAATTGGTGTGAAGCAAAATTTGCCACCGTTCCATCTCAGAGCTGTTTCAGATGCGATGGAAATCCCGGGTAAGAGAGTCATAATTGGAATAAGTGTATACATGGACGTGTTTTAGAATAACAATTGGCGTAAACCACCCCTCTCGATCGGAATACAATTCCTTTGTGATTGAGCCGAATTGGATCAGAATCTTCTGATCGATGTGTTTACATGAAGCATTTTTATTCCGACTGGGCATTTATTCAGATTATTTTTGCCCATGTTAACATAGCTAATATCTGACAAACTCAAACACTTACTGGTAAACTAGAAATGTCTAAACTTCCATTTTCATGGAAAGATTCAAAGAATGATACATCCCAGATTTAAAAGACAGGCAAAACTATAGCTCCTTATTTCTTTTTAAATGTCATAGAAGTTGCTAAATATTTTCTGTAAAGACATTTTGCTTAAGATCAGATTTGGCTTGACTGGAGTGATTTATTACATACTGGTGTGCTTTCATTGATCGCTGAGCTACACGGAGACAATTTTCCCCAGAGCTGAACATCAAGAGCTCCCTTTGCACTCGCTCACTTCAGTACTCGCAGTCATGAGCTGATGCCCTTTTTCTCTGAGGGCAGAAATGATAGGCATAAAATTGAAGGTGTCTCCTTCCTGCAGTTGAGTTAATGAAATTCTCTCTCTATAGGAGGTCTGAGCCTAAGGCCTCACCATATTCAAAAACCCCCTCACACATTTGACTGAAAACCAGAATTATAGCATATTGTCTACAGCTTGGATAAAATGATGGTCACCAGGACACATTGCAAATGGAGAAAAAAAAATCCAGCGATTCACTGAAAGTATTGTTCAACATTTAAAGCTTTTGAAGGAAAATAATCTACTCCTATGATGCTGCTTCCTCTCATTCAGTTTCTCCTTTGAGACGTCGGGGAGTCACTCTGTTAACAGTACGTGTCACTTCAAGTAAATGTAAGATGACTCATTTTTTAATAAAAGGCTTCAGCTGAGTGTCAAAGTGAGGATTTCCAAGCGGAATATCCTTTTGACTTTGACAAACACAAATGCAGACACGCAGTTTCATGTCTCGTTGAAAGCTTATGACAGGGTTGTTGCCATTCTGAGAGATAAGACAACAGTACACAGAGATCTTAATACAATTTAACTCTTTAATTATTTTAACAAAAAGCGCACCCATCACAGGGATATCCTGCAGTCTACTCAGAGATTCAATTAACTTTGCTTTCAACACATCTAACGTCTGATGAAAATTATAGAAGCGAGCCAATCAGCAAACAGGAACTCTCTGCAGTGTATTGGAAAATACTCTACATGATAATCTACATAATAACAGAGGTTAATCATTTAACTATTCAGTGCAAAGGTCAGCCAGTTTTCCCTCATCTGTCAGTAATAATTCCTTCAGGTAACACTCGACCCTGGAGAGTGAGTGACCTCACATATTAAAAGGGACATGTGTTTTCTTCTTCTGTTGTCGAAAACAAGCCAAAAACAACTTGCCCCATAGTGCTGGTTAATGTGTCTAGAGGACTGCTCTCCCTCCAGCTGAGCCCTGCACACCAAACATCATCATACGGTGGAGTTGCACTAAAAGGGTCTATTTGTCTAAAGTAAAGTAAAAGACTACATTACATACAGCAAAAAGGCTGTGGGAATTAACCTGCAAATCTCATTTCATGATGTAGCAGCTGCAGAGGAGATCTGCAGATATTTTAATCCCTCGCAAAATTGACCATGCCTGTGATGTTTTAAGTTAAAAATTTTAAGGACACAAGAGTCTGCTAATAATGCAAATCCTGACCAAACTATCATTTCTGAAGGTCATAATGATGAAGACATTATAAATAAAGACTCTGACAGCATTTTGGGTCTAAATTCAGCTTGATCACTTTGCGACTCAGAAGCAAAACTATTGCTGTGTCAATCAGTAATAATGCTGAAACAACAATAATGAATGAAGGAGAAGAAAAGAAAGTGATTTTTCTATCTATATATAAACTGTGTGTATACATATGTGTATTTATATACATACATATAAACGTATGTGTATTTATATACATACATATATACGTATGTATATATATATATACATACATATACTGTATATATACATTTACTGTATATTTACATATACATATATATGTAAATATATATATACATATATATGTACATATACATATATATGTACATATACATATATATATATGTATATATATATAGATATATAGATATATATATATCCACATCACGTGTTCCAAATTTAAGCATTAAAAATTCTACAGGGATGTAGAAATATGAAACAGAGGGATTGAGAAGAGCATTGTTATCCACATATACTCATAACTGCGTCCATGCATGTTTTTCAGGATGACTGAGAAGGACAGCTGTTTCTTTCCACACAATTACCTCTATAATGGAGAAATGGTGCAGCAGTAACACAGCTATGGCTCTATCACTGACTATTCTTGCTCTGAGATGTTTATTTATGGCAACCCTTAGGTATCGTTTTCTTATCCTTTCATCAGTTACGGTCTTTCCCTTTAATAACCTCATTTACAAGACAATTGACACAGACTTAATTTTGACATTTGACTCTTAAATCTCTCTTTTTTTCTTTTCCAGAAATCAGTTATCCAGGTGAAGCTTCTCAGGATTTATTAGATTAGGTCTTACTAAAGAAATTTGCAAATAAAGAATAATGATGAGAGCAACTGATACCTGCAGCAGTAAAATGCTTAGCTAATTGAAAGCATTAAATCTTTGTTTGGCAAACTGAGACTCAAATTGTTAGTGTGGTCATCATTAAAGTGAAAAACTGTAAGAGGTTCTGATCTCTGGTGTCTGCAGTCCTGACTTGTCAACCACTGAAACACATATAATGTCATGAAAGCAAAAACGCAAAACCTTAGACTTAAATCCAGAAATCCTACTCTGGACAAGAACTGCAAAGATTCCACTTTCCAAAATCCAAAACTAATCTCCCAGGTTCACTACTGTTTATACATTGGTAAAAAAATAAATAAAATAAAATACAATCTGGACTTTCTTTGTGTTTAAAAAAAGTATATGGCAATACGTTTATTTTATTATAATTATAATTATATTATACAGAATATAATAATTTCAGATTAGACGTCTGATATGCTGTCTTTGAATTAAATGACTTATATACCATAACATTTGGTTTTCCAAGTTCTGCAGTAGTTTTGTCATCACTGTCATCTAAAAAGTAATGCATATCCACATCCATTCAGAAAAATGTTTTTGTTTCAGTGAAACAACTACTGTACAATGTACAAAAATAAACAGCCCAGCTCCTCTTAAAGCAGCTCTTATTTTATCACATAAATCTGCCATGAACAGGTTACATCAACTGTAATCCACTATATGGCAAATAATAAGTGCAGAATGGTGGATTGCAGTGTTGTTAGTTAAAATAAGTTAGAAAAGTTGGCCCTTTCTAATTTAGGGAAACACATGATCACCTTTTTAAACTCTTGTTACTTTGCATTGTTTTTGTGACGGCAATTTTATTCACCATCAATAAAGTATGTTCACTGGCACACTGCAAGTAAGCAAAATAACAACAAAGTTTGCATCAGCATGAAAGACTGTAGGCATTTGGTAAAAGTCTGATTATTATATTTGTATTTCATTTACCATTTTTTTTTTATATGAATTCATTTACTTTAAAATCGAAACCCTCGCCACAGGGATCCTTTTAGGACACCAGGAGGTCTCACAGAAAGTAGAGATTTACTCATCTAAAAGCCGCTGTTAGATCTACGTCTGCTGAGATCATTTATAGAACAGTCACAGATCCAGTCTGAACATGTCCCTCTCACTTCCTGCTGTTTGAAAATAAAGTATACTGAATAGGACTGGATTAAGTTCACCTACTTATGTCTAAACATCCACCGGAACAACCTGACAAACAAACTTCCGGTCATCTGCGTCTTTGCACGTGTTCTGTCAGTCACGCACAAACACAAATCTATAACCCCCAAAAACAAAACCTCCATCTGTGCAGAGCAGACAGCCTTCCTTTGTGCCCTGCAACATGGCAAACTTCACAGAGTTCTGTCAAAGTATGCAGGACAGGCCCTCAGTGACCAAACATCAGACAATACACTTCACACAGTACACACACACACACACACACACACACACACACACACACACACACACACACACACACACACACACACACACACACACACACACACACACACACACACACAGACTTCATCACCTGCACACGCTCCTGTGTACTTAAGTGAGATGTGAGGATAGATGTGACCTGCATGACGGGCACACATGCACGCACATGTGCACGCGCGAATGCACGCATGCACTCGTGCACACAGTCAGGGAGAGTGAGTCAGAGAGATACAGGAAGGGGAAAGGGAGGGGGGGGACCTTTGTACTGAAACTTCAAAAACATTATGAGAACCACAGGGGACCACCATCATCATCTCCATCCCTCCCCAACCTACTCCCTACTCTTCTGCAACCTCGAATATGATTGGCTGTGACTGGAGGAAGAAGCAGGCTTCACCTTGATATCAGGAACACGTTGAAAGAAATGGATGCAAAACAGAATACAGAATTCATCACACAATGGCTAACTAAAGTCAGAAAATTGTTTAGGAAGGTAATGGATGGTTGTCCAGGAAGCTTTGTTCATGCATCAGAAATGACTTTTTGAGGATCCAGCTGCAATACCTTGGATTGTTTCTTCAATTAATATGTCTAATTTCTCCCTAAAAATTTCATGGCATCAAATCTGGGTTTATATTTATATCAGTCAGGCTACACAACCTTTTTGTCTGACCATCATGACTGATAATGACATCTAAAAGCTCAGCTGAACAACAAATGATCAAGGCAACTGGTCACTAGCAGTGTTGGTGGTAATGGTAATGGCTCGGATTACATATGTGCTGTAACAAGTATCGTAACACATGACATCTTAAGTAACCAGTTATTTTCTCACATAAATAACCCATTAATAAAAAAAAAAAAACATGCTTAAAGTATCTGCTCCGTTTCCCTCGTATTTCATTACCAAGTAGCTGGAAGGTAAACTAATCATTGTGTTAGTTTTATATACTGTATATACTATGGATAACTTGGTTCTGCTTTCCGCTGGTATACAGATTCGAAGCCAAAAAGCTCTCGGTATCTCCATGATTTTTCCTCCATTTCCTGAAAACAACTTTGAACAGTAGCGTTGTATGCATTCAGGGGGAGAGTCGTCGAGAGTCGCTGTGATGACGCTCGGCTCAAACAGTGTATCCCCCAGATGAGCTATGCAATCTTCTTTGGCCCATAGGCTGTATAATCATAGAAAACATGAACACCCTAATAACTTTTAAAAATGGAGCTGTACAGAAAAAAGGACCTGATTTATGACCTATACTGCAGCCTGTCAACAGAGGGTGCTGTTCTCTGAGTGGCTTCACCCAGCAAGGAGGCAGACGGCGTCTATTCTATATACAGTCTATGGTTAGTGTACATGTGTAGCTAGCTAATTCAATTAGCTAATTCAATGACAGACAGTGGACAGCGTTTGTTTGTTGCTTCAAACTTAACTTCCAGTTTACAGACACATTTGGAAGTTCCACACAGTTCCCCTGATGCCAATTAAACAGGTGAAATATGCCGCTGATGCTGCTACTTTTAAACCGTGATGGGTATCTTAAAGTTCAGCTTAGGGAGTGGAGAGGAAGAGATGAAGATAAATATGCTGTTTGTTGCTAAGTGCCGTGCTCTCCCTGCTTGTTAGCAGCAAAAACTACCAACACCTGCTCCAGATACAGTTTGAGACGTTTGTGGGCCAAATGAATTTTATCAGATTTTTACACTTTTTAAATACTGGCCTTGTTGATAGGCTCAATAGTTGCCTGTTACGGTCGTTGAGTGTCTCGAGATACAATTTGCTGTGATTTGGCACTATATCAATAAAGACTGATTGATTGAGAATGTTGTTTGAACATTAACAGCCTGATACGCAATCTTCTTTGTGAAATTAGTGGCTAAAGCACTGTCTTAGCAATTTATTGAGCAGCAAAGATTACGGGCTTCAAAGCTGTCAGCCCAATTTATTGTTAGCAGCAAAGATTACGGGCTTTATGCATTGGCTGCAGATATGTTATTCTTTTTACTTTCTTTTTAAAGGTAGACATAAGCCTGGGCGACACCCCATCTTGACAATCTCATAGAAATGCATGGTGAGTCAGGGGTTTGCATCATTTTCATTTTAGTGAGTGCATGAGTTCTCTTGCATGTTATCAATATTTGCATTAGAAAGGCAGGAATTTTATTACCATCTAGCTATCCTTCTTGTTTCCCTTTACCATTTTGTTTGATTGTGCCCATGCTTAAGTGTCATCTGACCTTAGAACTTAGATTCCTTTATAGATTCAGATCCTCACTTCCCCTCTTATCCAGTAAAATAGTTTTTTCTGCAGTTCTGTTTAACTTTCAGACAGAGGCCTCACATTATTTTAAGCACACCTACAGTCAGACATTTTACTGTGGCAGAAAAACAACCACAAAACATAGTATTTTTGACACCATACTTCTCATTTGGAATAAGGTTTGCCTGCACAATACTGCCTCAAGTATCTGCCAGGAATGTTTTCTAATACTGTGGCCAAACAACTACATTTCAATTCGCCTTGTCAGAGCCCACTGCTCTAGACGTCCTGTGTCTTGCCAAGTTGTTCATCGGAAAGCTTTGGTCTTACTCTGTTGTTCTTCCTACATATCAAGGCCTCTCTTCTGGCACACGTCCCATGCAGGTTAAATATGTGTAGTCTTGCTAGCGTTGGTTTGTGTTGTTTACTCTAAGATCTTCTGCAGTGATGAAACAGGATTGTTTTGAGGTTTTTTAAAACTTTTCTCCGTTCAAATAAAAATTTACAGCCACTTTTCTGAAAGCTTGTTTGATCCTGAACACCACAGACTTGCTGTATATTACAAACCCCAACTGTCTGGTTCTAAATATGACAAGTTTCTCAGGGATATTACGCAGACAAAACTGTTTCCCCACATACTGATGAAAGGATAATGACCAAATCTGGATGTGTCAAGTTCTGGACTCAAGGGAACCTGCAGCACGCCGACTGACCAAAGCGTTTTATGTTAATGTTGTTCAAACTATAATCTCCCTCTGCTCAAGTTATGAATGCTGCACTCCATATCATTAGCGGGACATAGTTTCTGACATGTTGTGTGTTAAGTGAGATGCGATTACATGGACATATGGAGGGACGGATAATGAAGTGCTGAAAGTGTTGTCTGGGTGGACAGATGGCTGGCTTACCTCATGGAGAGCTTGATCATCCTGCTACTTATCATATTCTACTCAATTCCACATCCTGCAAACTGCCATTCAAACAAACATCAAACTGCTGCGCTGAATAATTCAGCTCCTTCATTACTGCCTGTGTTGTCTGTTTGCTGACACGCCGTCGCAATATCAGCAAGGTGTTTTGGCAGATGGAGTGATTGCTGTGTAATAGCTCTGTTTTCATGGTGTGAGTGCTTCTTTCCTGTCAGCCCGTGTGGCCACACAGCCATGCTTCACCAAGACACAGTCAATAGAACCACTAGTGGAGGAGATCTGTACAGAACTCTCCCTCATAATGTGTATTATCTGTATTTATTTATTTTTGTATTGACTTAAGTTACTTAAGGGGGGATATCATACTTTCCCACATTTACAACAAAAACTGCAAAGTTACAAAGTTTGGTGACTACACTATGCAAAATTTCAAATCACAAGGTAAACGTATTTTGTCATAATCTGAGAAAGTAGTTGTAAACTGCTCAAATCTCACACAAATGTGCAAAAATGCAAGTTTATGTGCGACATAAAGACCGGCTTGTCTGGCAACAACAACCACGTCTACATGCCTAATTGTATCGAGATGCTGCCATGTGATTGGCTGATTAGCTTTTAGTGTTAACAGGTAATTGAACAGGTGAACCGCATGAAGTTTCTGGTGATTGTATATCACGAGTTACTAGATGTGATATTTTATGTGGCGGATTTGCAAGAACTCCCAAGAAATCACGGACTCACCTGCAATTGCGCGAAAACAAGTTGTCACTATAAAAACAGCCACATAATCATATAAAGGTGTCCTTCCAGAGGAGGAAATCCACTTCTAGATTTCTAGATTCAGCATCTCCTCATCCATGGTGTCTAAAAACCTTTCACTTGTTTGTCCCTGTCCGTTTGCATGGTGTGAAATACGATACGACTGAAACATGTAGTGTTTTATTTTGAAAAGACGCCAGATGTTTTATTTTGTGTCTGTGCCCGACTTCCTTTCCAGCACGGACTAATCTGTGATGAATTTATCTCTGGCGTCCGGAAAAATAGAACTTGTGCGATCCGCAGCGGAATGGAAAGAGGCCAGTGGAAATTGACACATTAACTTGAATGGAAACGATCAGCTGCGATCGGCAGATACGGCCTTTTCGTAACCATTCCGGATGTGGTGGAATGGGGTGTAAGTTCCGCTGTGGATTTTTTATGAGGTACAGAATCCTTGTACTAGGGATGGGATTTGAAGGGAGCCAGATCTTGAGGAACTGTTTCCTTCAAAAGACTGGCTCATTGTTATAATCATTTATTTTTCAGAAGTCAACCTAGGGTACCCATGAGTAGGAGTTTCTCAAAAATATTGATTTTAATTTTATTTGGCTTGTGCTTTCATCGTAAACATCCCATAAGATGGTGCCATATCCCATGCTCCGACAGGGAAATCACAATTTGATTTTTTCCCTCACCTAAAAAACTTTGCAGCACAATAAAAACTAAGCAAGCTACAGATAACTGATAAAAATTAAGACATGGTAAAAATGTGAATGCAAATTTGTACTTCCCTACCTGGTGTTGGGGCACAAAAGTGACACCTGAAGGCAGCGTTAGCAATTTGCATATGGGAACATCTTGCCAGTGTAAGCCAGTTCTCATCGTTCACTTAAAAGAGCCGTTTAAATGACTGACTCATCAGCGAACGTCACATCTCTACCTTATACTATCAAGCTTGTATACGTTAGATTACATTGACTTCTTTAGTCAATGTGTGTGTGAAGTCCCCGTGGACTGTCTAATTATTGTCCCTGCTTTTTACATGGGGGTTGGACATCACCTGAAGCCTAACAGCTGTTTCAGATTTCATTGGTTCATACAGTTACAGCAAAATCGTATCCAGTTCTAGGTTGATTTGTTCTACGTTTCAAACTCCTCGGACCATATGTAGCACCAGCTTGAGGCAATACTACTTGTTTTTTTTACACTTCCTTTGCAGAATGTAGCGATATCTCTGAAACAATACAGTATGTACTTGATGACTACAACCATGGGAATCTGGGCTGTTTCCAGTGAAAGTCGTGCAGCACGCTATTAATATTCATTTCCTGCTGAGCCTAACAGTGCTTGCTATTTTCTTGTCAAAGAGAGTTTCCCTTCCCCCCTCTCAAACCTCTCCTCTATCTTTCTCCTGATTCTCCCTCTTAATTTCTCTCTCCTCCCCTCTCCCCACTCTCTCTCTCTCTCTCACACATACTCCCCATTCCCGTCTCCACCTTTTTTTCTCCACTCCTCTCGTCTTCTTCATTGGTATACTGTGTGGAATCAAGGATGCACCAGGGTTTGTGTAAGCTCATTATTCTGACTGACAGAGATTCATTGACACTGTTCCAGCTTGAAAGCTCCCACAGAACAAATCACACACATACAGTGCAGCCCCTTTTATTCCAGCGGCATTAACTACTGTACTGCAGTTGCATCATTTCAAGGTGATTTTTTTCTGGCTAAATGCTGGATGTGTGGGGGTTGCAAAATTCCAGGAATTTTCATAGTTGAAAACTTTCCATGGGAATTAATGGGAATAAATCTGAAATTTACAAAATTGAAGGTTGGCCCTCATCAGGGAACTTCAATATAGTTGGTGAAAATATAATCTTGGCAAAAACAACCAGATTCAATGAAAGTACACTCCTCAATCACATGCACACAGCACACTGCTCAATGCAGGACTATTGGGGCCACACCCCCTACGTGCACTTTGCATTCCTCCATCACATGTACAGATGATTTCTTGAACCCTGGAGGCCACACTTTTGAGCCCAAAGCACAAGACGTTGGAGGAAACTGTCTATATAAAGTCAAGTTTTGATAATATTATGGGGTAAATATATTTGATCTATAATGGTATAAATATTTAACTTGCAAAAAAAATAAAATAAAATAGATGCTAAATGTAAGCTATCGACTATTTAAGGGGCTAGCTTATCATGGTGGTGGTAGCTATCTCAAATGTGATGCTGTTTCTTCTGACTCCTGTAAGACAGTTTTCTGTAACCATACAATAATTTACACATCAATTGTCAAATATTTTGAAGACCATTCCAGTTGTTTAGCCAACTGTATTTCTGTTTATGCCATTGCATGAGTGTTTTTACAAGCTTTTTTGTTACTTTATTCTACTGAAGAATGCCACATTCGCCATCGCCACTCTATAAATCTGTTGAAATGTTTTTTAATAGTATAATTTTGCATGGATGTCTGCTTATGACAAAACAAAAATATTTAAAATTTATGTTTGGATATGATACAGTTTGTGTAAAGTACCCCCAATTTCCAGTTAATTCCAATAAATTCCCAATAATTTCCATAAATTCCAAATAACTCCCATGGAAAGTTTCCAATTTGGAATATTTCCAAAATTCACCATTTTAACTTCACATGAAAAGTTTCTGAAAAATTTCCAGAAATTTTCCACCCCTTTACAACCCTATGTATGTGTAACTATGCATTGAAGCCTAACCTACTCTTTCTAGATGCACTTACTTGTTATTGATTTTAGGTATAAAAACTGTAATGCCTCATTCATTTGTTCTGAGACTTCAGGTGTTTCTGTCTCGCTATCATATTTGTGTGTTTTTAATATAATATCACATATTTTTCCCCTCCACATTAAAAATTGCCACTCCTCCTCCATCAGACAGCTTATGCTACCGTGATGTGGATTCAGGGTATTGCAACAACCTTTTTATTAACTGCCTCTTGCGCTCGAATCATCCTGCAAATCATCAATTTTGTAAGCGGAACACTGTAGCAGCACAATTGTGAGGATTGTGTGGTGCTGTCCAAGGTGCTGATCCTGCTGCTGGAGGAGAAAAGCTGCTAGTGTGTCTCTTCTCCCCAGTGCACAGCAGTGGGAAGGTCGAGTATCAAATTAACAGACTCATTAATTTACTAGAACCATCTCTGTTAAGTTTAGTCACACAATGAGGTTTGACCTAAGCCTCACTACTGCTCTGTGCTTTAGAGAAAATACATGCACTCCGATCATTTTTTATGCTGCCAGGACTCTGTTGTTGCTGAAGGGTTGTATATTATTAAATATCTGCACATCGATTGGACGTTCTCTGGTGTTGTAAAGAAAATAAATGTAGTACTGTGTGCTTGATGTACACCAAGAGTCTCTTTGCTGGTTACGCTGGTGCCTTTAACATGATTTATTTTCTTCTTCAATACAAATTTGGGGCAGGACAGAACACAGCAGGGATTGAAAGTGGCTAACACCAATACACTTATCAGATCAGCTCAAACACAGTTTAATGCAGCTCCTCTCTGTTGTTTTTGTAGTCAAGTTAAAATAATAAGAGATTCTCTCGGGGGCTGTGTCTGAACTATACTTTATCCAAACAGCTCACAACCATACTGAATAACAGCTGTCGAGTTTCATGTTAGACACACCATGACATTTCACCTCTAACTAGGACATAATTTCATTTAAGTGAACTTCTGATGGATTCTCTCAATCTTTTGATGATATTAAGATCTGTAGATGTTGAAATCCTTACATTTCTTGCAATTGTACCGTCAATGTCCAACGTTCTTGAACTATACTATATCATTGTTAATATGCTGTGACAAAATGAAGTTTATTTTTAGATCAATTTTACCTTCATGATTCCCCTGAAACAATCTTAAACTGTTTTGTTAAGGTCAGTTTAATGTCAAAGTTTCTGAAGGTGCTGACCACAGACACACACATCTCGATTTTAGACGCCACAGGCTGCCAAGCTTATCTTCCTGCCAGATGGCTTACAGCCACCGTGCTCTCCCCCTCAGCTGCGCTCTGTTTGTTTGGCCAAATAAAACTTGAAGTATGGACTTTTAAGTTTAGTTGAAGAGCACAGGGTGGTTAGGCAGCATGAACCAGATGTGATGTTTTGAAGGATGCCAAACATATCTATATTTTTCCTCCTTGTTATTTAACTTGAGTTTATCAGTTCAAGAGTTCATCCACTGGTCTACCTGAGGATGCTACATGTACTGGACAAACTCAGCAAAGCGAGGAGAGGCACTACTTTGGGGAAAAAATTGAAAACTTCTCAAGACTCTTTGCTTCAGAGAAAAAACAAAATTATTCAACACGAGGGTAAAAATTTGGACAGCGGAAGAGTGTATGGTGCAGGGTTGTTCATGCAGAGCATGTGGAAATAGAGAGAATATGACAAAATGAGGGTGTAACATCATGGAGACAAGCGTTTAAACTCCATGTGCTGACTTCTTTGGTAGCTACAGATGATAGGAGAGCTCTACAGATGTCATGGCAGCAATTTAGAAAATACCCTTGACACTAAAGAAATAAGTATATTACATGCTGTGCTCATCCTTTGCTGCCAATATGTTACCTCATTACAACCCTTACAAGGTATATAGAGATGGTAGGAAAGTGAGAAGAGGACAGAGGAGTGATAAAGGAAAGGAAAAGAAGGGAAGGAAAAAAGGGGGCAAGACAGGCCCCCAAATAAAGGAAGGAAGAGCACTAATGAGTACACTCAGGTTTGCTCAGTTGCTGTGACAACACTCGGCTCATTGCTTCAAGCCACAAGACTGCATACCTAATGAATAACACACTCACACATACACACAGGCTCAAGAACACTCTCTCGCGCACACATATGCACAGTATAGAGAAGAGAACCAAGTATATCCCCTTCAAGCTATTGTCATTTGCACGGGTTCGCAGGCGTCCAAAACCCATCAGAACAGAACATACTCCATGGAGAACAAAAATGGCACATGTCCATATGCCTGCATTTGTATGTGTGTGTGTGTGTGGAGTAAAAACTATCGAAACAGACATGCCAACGTAAAGAAATACAGCCAAAGCTTTTAACCAAATCAATCAGGACCACCGTGCTGTGACTGTGCCAGTTGGAGAGAGCTGAATAGTTTTAGCGGAGGAAAGAGGAGCTCTGCAGAAAGAAGAAGGAAAAAAAAAAAACCTTCACAATGCAGCAGATGATCCTGCATCAGGACCTCAGGCATCCTCACTGACAGGCCCGGCAACACAGTCGAAATATAGCTCATGTATTTCGAGCGTGAACTTCAGAAAACTGCGAAAAAGACGTTTAAATTTGATTCGATGTAAGAAAAGGAAATTGTCACTTGAGGCAGTTAGAGGGGGTGTCTTGTCTCTCAGTTGGTGTTTTCTTCAGTTCTTCAGCCAGTAGATAATACTGCTTATCAATCACCTGATGACAGAACATGGTGAGATGGTTGTTGGTCGAGTTAATGTATTCAGTTCCTCAGAGGTAGATATGTCTTGTTCTATAAACCAGCAAGATTAATGAGCTTTCAGTGGGATCCAGTGGGCCACATTCACCAACCGCTTTAAGAAGCAACTTGGTATTAGGTCTCCTATGAGCAGTTTTTAAGAAGATTCTAGTATTTACCAACATTTTCTAGCAAAAAACAGAACACTCAAGAGCGATGATATATTCTTGTAAATTGATAGAAACTTGTGTTTTCCTTTAATAAGTACCCTTCAAGTAGGGCTGGGCGATATGGGAAAAAGTTTATCATGATATATTTTTTTCATATCAGTCAATATCGATATATATATATAGATATGAAAAATGAAATTTAACAGTGCTTATTGGTAGCATGTCTTTTGCAATACAATAAGCAACTGCATCTGTGAGGTCTTTGTGTCTCTTCAGCGTTTTTGTCATGAGCGCTAGAGAAAGCAGACTGAATGGTCGGCTGTTTCAGCTGCACAGGCGCCCTGGACTCCTTGCTCTGCTCGGGATGTGTAACTTTTTGCATTGCGCCTGCTCTGCCGCGTTGCACTGCTTCAGGTGGTGAAAAAGATTTGAGGTATTCCCCGACTTCACGAGAACATGAACTCGACATAATTTGCAGTGCACATTACTCTGCTTCATGTCCGACCTCAAATAACCAAAATACCTCCACACCACCGATGTTTTCATGCTAGTGTTGTCGACAATGTCGTCATCTCTCTCTGTATTCCTCCCAAAACCAGCAGCAGCTTGGTGGCTGTCTAGCATGAATCTGGTCCTTCCCAAGGTTTCTGCCTGTTAACAGGAAGTTTTTCCTTGCCACTGTCACTCATGTTAGATGAGTTGGGCCAAATCCCATCTTAGGTTGGGTCTTGATAATTCATCAAACAATGAGCGTGGTCTAGACCTGCTCTTGTTCTTTTGAGTGCATCTTGGGATGACAATTGTTGTGAATTGTCGCTATATAAATAAAATTTGATTGATTGATTGATTGATCTGTTGAGCCTTCATCTGCATTTCTGCCGGGGGTAGCACCCATTTTCTTTTTTTTCTCACTGCTAGTGCTGTTGGCTTCACGTGTTAAAGTGCTATGGTTGCGTGTAGCTGCAGCCTGCTACTACGCAGTTGTTAGCTACTTGGTTCTAATTCAGCGCATGATTGGTTCAGCTCGAAGCGGACTCCCCTTTTCATTGGTTTTTCCAATTGTCTACATAAACATAGCAGAACGCCGACTATCGAAAAGCATATTGATATTGAGGGAAATTAATGTTCAATATATATTGTTATTGTTTAATCGCCCAGCCCTACCTTAAATTATTTAAGAATATCTAATACATGATTGAAATTTAGACAACTCTTATGTATCTACTCTAGATCCAACTGGATGTCTAGTCTGTAAATTGTGTAGTATTCCCTCTGTTTCAAAATTTAACAGCCATGTCTACACTCACTCCAAATGTATTTTGTTGTTTCGTACATCCTTTTTTCTTCTGTCATGACAGTGCTGCATCATACTGACTTCACCCCTCCATTACTCGCCTATCTCCATTTTTTCAATAGAACAAAAATGGGCAGGAATGGTATAAGCCGTTTCTTGAATTGCATGGTACTTTCCTCTAAACTGTGCTCAATTATACTGTTGTAGTTTAGAGCTACCCACAGTAGACACACAGTGGGTCACATCTGCAAGGGCAGTGTACTTCCATGAGTGTGCATGTGTTGTCTGTTGCTCTCGGCAGCATTAGTGTGTTTGCCCCTGTGAAAAGCACTGCAGGGAGGATGTCGTCCCGAGGGGCTGGTGGAGGGCCTGGAGGCTGGGTCCGGCAACACTGATAACCAAGATCAGCTGCTCAACCAATGAACCTCCAGGATAAACAGAATTCCACATTGAAACATGCACACACACGCAAGCACACAGGCAGGAGGCGTGCAGGCGCAGTGTGACTTTCAGAGAGGTGGAGGGATAAACAGATGTCACATTAAAGCTGGGAGGAGGCCTCTTTTTCAGCCTCACACTGAGTCCTCCAGGCAAACCGTCGTACACACATGTGCCTGTGTGCACGTAAGAAGACAAATGTGCCTGCGTGCACACACACACGCACACTCATGCACACGGGTCTGCCGAGCATGACACAGAACCTTTAAATCTCTGCCTCCTCTTTGATGTCAAAACAACATGAGGCAAGAACAAAAAGGGAAGCGTCACTTTGTAAATCAAAAAATGATTCAAGTCCTTACTGAATCTAGACCGGCAAAATACTGATACACAACTCCACCATGCAACAAAATCTGCACAATCAAGTTTTAAACTATCAAGTTAACTTCAAAGGAGATGAAAACATGAAACTGGGGCGCCCTATAACAGAGCAGATGTCATATAAGACTTTTAAAAAATCACATTTTTGATGACTATTTCTTTTGGGCACACTGTTCACACTGCATACCAGTCGATGATTGTACTATAAACGGAGTAGAAACACAAATAAGAGGACATCCTCTCTGCTTACCTTCCTCAACAGGTTGCAGATCCTCTCGATATTACGCAGTCTCTCTCTCTGAAAGTTGACAAACAAGAAAAAGACAAGTTTATCACTTTTGACCCAAGTATTTTGATATCTAATGTTGTACATGGGTACGTTTGAACTTTTTCTGTATTTGGAAGGAAAAGACAGCAGTGAGTAAGAAGATGGTTTGGTTGAGTTCTCAATGGTTACCAGCCATTTCAGAGACTATTCATTAAAATATGAAACCATTCAGCCTGATTTAATCTGACTCAATTAAATCAAGTATAATTCAAATAAAATGTATCCAAGATAAGTTATGATTGAAACTGAGAGACAATTTTTTACCTTTTATAACTGAACACAAAGTTGACATGTCTTTTAAAAATAGCAGCCTCAAATTTATGACTTTATAAGAGACTGTGGCTTACACTACATTACAAACTCAAATCATAATAATAGTCTGGTCTCTATTACACACCCAGGCCCTGTTGCCTCATTCTGTCAGGTGAAGTTGGGTGAAGCAATTTAAGTTTGGTAAATACACACACTAATCCTCGCTTTTCTGCACATATACCTCTGTTGACTTTGTGACACTCTAACAACATTTAAAACAAATTATTTTTCTTCTCCAAAGTCCTAAAAGTAAAGCAAGCTAAAAAATCAAAGTAGATGGAAACCATCAGTGTATGACAGAGCTTTTGTGTCATGTGAGAGTGAAGAGAAACACAATTCAAACAATCAGGACATTATTTTTTCTCCTCTCAAAACGTCCCCTGTGATTCTCATATGTGAAATTAACATTAAAACTGTTGTTTTCATTGCCGCTTACTCTTTTTGGAGCTCTGGTTTTCAAGTTAAAAACAATTCCTCTCCCACTCAGTTTTCCCACTCTGCTTTGTATCTGATAACCTGGGATTTAACATGTAAAACAGTCTCAAAAAGCCATCAAAATGTCAACCTCGATAATAATACAGATTGCAGATGTTACGATTATTGAAGACTCAATTGACTTTAAAAGTTTCACTCATTTTTATTTACTTTTATGCTTTATATTCTCTTCTAATATACTGTTCAATAACCATAGTCTTGATTCATATTGTATATTTGCTTTGTTTACATGTTGTTTCCTTCATTTATTCTTAAAATATGTTTAGAAAATAGATTAAATCTAGAGAGGACACACAGAGCGTAAACTCAGTTGACAGGGGAAGAACCGAGCCAGACCCTCAGTGCTCCTCTCTGACCACCGAGTCCTCACCGCGCATTAGCTCCGTGCAGAACACATTGTCTAAGTCTAATAATACACATTTGTATTTTTAAGAGTTCTTTGCATGTGTAATAAGCTGTAAAAGGGCTTAAGTCAGCATTTGCCACACTGCTGACTTGAACAGCCACCATCACAGCAGAGCTTTCAACACCATCATTAAATATTAAGTTATTCCTATGGAGACGCAATCTGGACATGACTGGCAGCCCTGCCTATTTCCACAGGGGGCGATGCATAATCTGGCTGCTCATAAATGATATATTGATCTGAGCGTCGTGCTGTTTGTGCCTGTGCATAGTCAATTTGACTCTTCTGCGGTTGTTGGAGGCTGGCTGCAAACATCAACAAAGGGGATCCATGGGTATGATAAGGATATAAAATAATAGCGGGGCTTACAGAGAACATCAAAGCAAGTGCGTCTAAAATTGAACTAATATTTAGAACATAAACAACAAAAAAAGACATCAAAATATGTGAAAGTACGCTTCAGTTATTAACTGCATACCGTAAGTGCACTTGGTTAAACTCTGCACAGCTAGTTGTAATTCACTTTTACATATGACCACAGGCAGCCTCTGTACAAAATAACTAACTGTACTGTTATAGACATCAAAGCAGCTGCTGTTTCATTTAACGGACTTTTACTGCTTTATATTGTGTCTTTAATGCAAGAAAGACACAAACAGTTTTAATCATGCCGTTCAAAAGTTTTCCAGAGTGTGTATGTGACAAAAAGAGAGAGAGTAAAGGTGTATGTGTGTATATGAGTAAGTAGAGACACACAACCACTCAGAGGTAGCAACTTCTGATTTTCGACAGACAGATAGAGTTTCAATCTTGAGGTATACTTCTGACTTCTGTAATAAAAATCCCCAGAGGAAAAATTCTGGTGTTTTTGCAGTAACACTGGCAAATAAAAACAAATGAACAAAAAAATTAATAAATAAATAAAATAAAAAATAGTAAGAAAAAAAACATATATATATATATATATATATATATATATATATATATATATATATATATATATATATATATATATATATATATGAATGAGAACCAAAAAAAAGGAACAAAATAAGAAGTTCAACAGTTACACACCCCATAGTTAAAGTTACTAATTTTGACTTAAGGGGACAAGGTAATAAAAGCAAGTTTTAAAAACAGTATTGTTTCATTATTAGCAGTGTTTATATACTAATGTCTGATGTTGTTGTGACTCTGAATTATGATTCAAGGGACAATGTTGCAAACATGCATACTTTGTATATTTATTTTTTGAAATTCTGACCAATCAGAGAACTTTTTCAGTGCACATTACACATTTTGTCCTGCTTGTACACATCCCCAAAAGTGAATACAGACAAAGCTTGAGCCTGTAACAAGATGGATCATGATTTAGACAAGAGCAAACATGTGAAAAAGCCCTGAGTCTCCCCTGACTTAACTTAATAATGCTAATTGAAACTAAAGGTGCAGTCTGTGGTTTTTTGCGGCTTTTAGCAGAACACACTTTGTAATAACGGAGTGAAATATTTTCAAGTGTATCTAAATCCAGGTATAATCACTTTTATACATACACTCAATTTCTAGGTGTCTTTTAACTCAGCCTTTCAGAGGCAGGCATCTAACAGCACCTTGTTTCTCTCATATAGTACTGAATTTAAGTGAGCCGCCTCTTAATATGCATCAGAATATAGAAAAGAAGAAAGAGAGAGTAGAGGTTGGATTTAAAAGAATTTATACAGAAAGATGTCATGGGGTCAAAAACTTCTCAAAGATGCTTTGCGGTAGTTTTTTGTCCTGAAACGCCACCAGATGAAATGGTGAGCAGAGGACTGTTTCAATCTGAAATTTTGTCACACTGCTCCTTGAAGTTTCTTCAGCTGTGATTAGATATTGCTGTTTTAGCTCAAAAGAAGATTGTTGGAGTTTGAAGAGTGTTTCCAGAATGGTCCATTTTCTCTGTCCTGGCTTTAGGGGGGAGCTGCAGGGCCACACAGTCCTGATTTACTGTTTGTGTTTGTTGTTGTTTGAGGAATTAAAGATTATTTTTCTCTACGGGATGAATCACAGTGGCTTTTTATGGCAGTCTTGAACACTCTGCTCTTTTTTGTAGCAGCAAGGGTGCTCATGTATCTGGATTCAACCCTCTGACTCCAGTGAATAAGACATCTCAAGGAAGTGAGCAACAATCTGAGTAACAGGTGTGTCTACAGGATGTGTTAGATCTGCAGCTTCAGTGGTATGTTTATGGCTGTGGTCCTAAAAGTCAGAATGAACAAAGCAAGAACAAACATTTGCAAAATATATGATGTTATAAACAGCCTGTTTAAACTTTTAATGAAGGCATGATGCTGATCTGTTTTTCAAACTCTTTTGGCCTTTACGGTATATCATTTCCTAAAATATGCATGATGAAAATGTAAACATGCATATTTAATTACTATTTTTAAGAAGTGCAGACTGCTACAGAGGTTTCTCTTTGTTCATGTTTAATTGATGCCTGCTCTAAATAATGAAACCAGGGGTTCCTGAGCAGGAGGCTGCCAACATGTCTTGGTTAAATACACTCAGTGTTGTAGCACTCAGACCTGAGTTTGACTTAAGTACAAATTTTCAGGACTCATGATTTAACATTGACTCAGAACATTGAGAAGAGCACTCAGACCCATTTATGAATGAAGAAAATGTAATATTTTTGTAGTTTTTTTTTTTCATATAAGACCCTCATAATTTAGTGTTCACAGTCGAACTATCAGGTTTGTTCATCTTTTTGAGTGTTATCTGGTAGTGATGGGCACGGCAGTTCTTTTAGATGTACTGAATCACTAGAGTTAGTTCACTAAAAAGATTTGTTCACCAAATCATTCAGTGCTTGACAGGAGAAGCCTGTGACTCTAACCTCCTGAACTGATACACAGCTGAACGTTTCAGGATTCAGTTCAATTCATAGTTTCTTGGACCGGGAGACAAGAGTGTTGGGTGTGTTGCTTTGACAAACAGGTTTGTAAAAATGAACTTGTTTATCAGTCATGATGTTTAAAGTGTACTGTCCTATGGTATGCTATTTATTAGGTTTGCTCGGTAAATTGGGCTCAGTGAGTGATTCGTAAACTGAACGTTTAGAAGAATTCACTGTTCCCTCCAAACCGCTGCAGTGATAGGATGCTGTAGGCAGGAGGTTTTATGCACTACTTGTTACTTGCTGTGTCCTATAGTATGCAAGTTGTTGTGGCAATTTAGCAGTGAAAAAAAAAGTAGTTTTGTCCGACAAAAATAATTCCAGAGAGTGTAGTTCAATGCGTGATTCATTCACCAAGTGATTCAGGCGTCGGTACATGTGGTCCCTCGTTTGCCAGCTGCTCGTCTGGCAATGCTGATTCTCATGTCAGCTCAACTGTTAAGAGAAACAAATGAATCACCTGAGGAAGTGATTCGGTTCAGTACGTTCACGTAAAAGATATGTATCTTTTGAACAAATCGTTCATGAACGACACATCATCATCTTGTTCAGCAACAGTTTCTGCCATCGATCAATCTTCATATAGCGCCAATTCACAAGTGTTATCCCAAGATGCTTAACAAAAAAGTTGGTCTAGACCATCATCAATTACAAAGACCAAATGTAAAGACAGGACAACACTGAGCCCCTTCTTGTAAGATCAGACTCACTCCCATCCCATCTTCAACCACATGAATGTAGCACTTTGCAGTAAACATGTATCAATGGATCAGCCGCCCAATAGATCAGTGTCATTTCCTTAACTTTGGGTGATCAGCAATCGGCCGATCCTTACATTTGAAAACAATCTTGTCCACAGATCTTTCTAGATTTTTGCTCAATGACATGTGTAATCTGTAACACTTTAACACAAATCTGTCCAGGATGCGCCTAAAAAGAAAAGTGAGATGCTAGAATGAGCCCATTTGCAATGTGGATTTCTGTGAGCAAGCTAGCACCTTCAGTGACTCAGCCATTGGTCTTAGATGTTTAGCTTGTTAAAATTCTAATAGCAGTTGGGTTGCAGGAATTTTCAAAGTTACTGGAGAAACCCGCCACAGCAGAATGAATAATTGTGACTCCCCATCAAGAGACGCCCAGTGCACACCCATGCACAAACAGCGCTGTAACTTTAATTTGAATCTTCAAAAACACCAGAGGATCAGTCTGAATGTCAGACACGTTAAATAGATCCCACAAAGTCAGTCCAGGTCCATACTGTCAATGGTTTGGAGTAACACAGCTGCCCTCTTTGTGATAACCAGTAACTAATAACAAAGGTTTTGAGAATTCAGAGTTAGATTCAGTCAGATTCTTTTCTGACTTTAACAATGACGATTAAAATGTGTGTTTAGTGACAATAACAGATCTGCCTCAACGGATCAGTCTTTTTCAACTGCTTCTCAGATCGTCAACCATGCCTTCAAAAGGGAGGAGAAAATACATAAAAGATTGTAAAAATGTGGAAGACTGTTCTTGTTTCAACATCTATTCAGTTATTTGTTTGTGTGTCTGTGTGTGTCCTTGTGAGTATTGGGACATGCTAGCTTAAGTAGCACAACTTTCCCTCTCATCTCCCTTTAGCTCCTTGCGGGACTCATTTCAAGAGCAAGACAACAAGAAGTGAGGGGGGGAAAGTGCGCTCTCATTTAATTTTTCATTATTATGTGTTTCAAAGTACAAGCAGAAGCCACTTCAGATTAAGAAAGTTGGACTTTGAAGTGCGATGTTCAGCAGCTGCACGACAGGTGAAAAAGGGAATCCATGATTGGAGCGGGGGAGAGCAGAAAAATGTATCTTGGACATGAATTTGTATTCAAAGTGTTGGATTAAAGTATTCCTCGCACGTGTTAGGAAGTGTTGCATGTTCTTTGAAATGTAGAACTTCAACTCTTCTTTGTCCTCCATGTGACCTCACCCGCTACACACACATCCATATATAGTTCGACACTCACACACCATAAGCAGCCATGAAAGCTCGGTTTGATTGCCAATTATCTACTCTGGTAATGTCTATTTCTGTTTCAGAACATGCACCTCATCAAAGCCTGGACGAGCTGCCTTTTGCATGACACTATCGCTACCCAGCTTCTTCTTCTTCTTTTTCAGGGTTTGAAAGAGGACATGCAAATATATTCCACTTAAAGCAGTGCTGTGTGTGTGTGTTTTTTAGTGCATACACACACATGCAACTGTCTACTCATTAGCAAGCAATTAGGCTGATGCCTCTTTGAAATGTTACTCAGCGAGAATTGGCTTGACAAGCAAGAGTTTCTCTCAAGTATAAACAAGGGATGAAGAAAAAGAGGGGTAGGGGGGGAAGCGGGAAGAGAGAAGAGGGGAGTTGGATGGTGGAGAGTGAGAGTTACTTGAAGTCAACCTTTATCTTAAGCGGCTGACCAATTAAGAAATTCTTGTTTAAGTGTGCTGTGTAAGCATGACTGGACGATGTGGATGAGTGTGTTCACAGTGTCAGTGTCCCTCTGGGGTAAAATGTACTGAAATGCTGTGAAATAACTCGCCCCCTTTGACTCCAGTAAGGCTTGAACTAAAGTGTGGGAGGCGGGCATGGAGCAGCTAGGGAGATGGAGTGATATGGAGAACATTTAAACAGTGTGAAGAGACTGCAGAAGCTGTCATCCCTTATGTTTGTGTCCTTGGTGGGTTACTGATGAACATCAATCAGTTCTGCTAATGAAAAACACCGCGAAGATTCACATTCATAAAACATGTGAATAATAAAAAAAAAACAACCTCAGCAGACTCTCTTTCTTTCATGTCCTACACCATCTATCGCTCAGATTTAAGACCCATATTATCTCTGCTCCTGGCAGTAGCTTTATATCTAAATATTAAAGCAATGTGAGCTTAAAAATATTTCAAACTCAGCAAATGCAACTTTGTTTGTGTCTGCATGAAGAACGATGTGAAGAATCACAGCTCCATGATGCACTAAATAAAGTTTGAAAGTAAAGTGGCAATGTTGAAAAATAAAATTTTATAATAATCTTGAGGATTAACTGGTTTCAATTTAAAGGGATTTTTCAGCATAAAATTAATTTAGGGGTCAAACACACCATTACACCGAGTTAGACACCCCCTCGAGAGATAAATGTCAACTGTTTGCTTCTCTAGTTATACCAACTTTAGTAACGACCACAGGATAGCAATGCACCGCGGTCTGAGGAGCCATAAACAAACCTCAACCAAAACGCCACTCTACAGCCACAAATAATGCTCAGAACAGCACCTAACTTCACCAACGGTACATATAGGGTCCTAGTCACAGCACTAGCCACCAAACATCTTTTTAATTTTGCCTGATTTCTTCAGCAAAGAGACTAAACACAACTCACCCACTCTCTTCCAGCAGCTGCTTGTTTGTAGCGAGACCTCAGGCAAGTCCATCAACCGCTGCAGGGTGATGCAGCTCAAGGAAGAACATTTATGATAATTTCTTAATGGAAATGCAATCAGACTGAAACGCTAAGGCAGAAGAACTACCGCGTCTGCAGTGCAAAATGATTCATATGGTGATTATTACTTAAAGGAAATGATAAAGTAATGATCCTAAATGTTCTTCCTTGAGCTGCGTCACCCCGCAGCAGTCTGTAATGGACTGGCCCAAGGTCTCGCTACAAACAAGTGGCTGCTGGAAGAGAGTGGGTGAGTTGTGTTTAGTCTCTTTGCTAAAGAAATCAGGCAAAGTTAAAAAGATGTTTGGTGGCTGGTACTATGGCTGGGACCCTATATGTAACGTTGATGAAGTTAGGTGCTGTTCTGAGCATTATTTGTGGCTATAGAGTGGCTTTTTGGTTGAGGTTTGTTTATGGCTCCTCAGACCGCTGTGTATTGCTATCCTGCGGTCGTTACTAAAGTTGGTATAACTAGAGAAGCAAGCAGTCAGCGACATTCATCTCTCAAGGGAGTTTGACTCGGTGTTATGGTGTGTTTGACCCTAAATTAATTTTATGCCAGAATATCCCTTTAACAAAGGCCTACATTATATTTGACACAGCCTGCATGGACTGAAAACACCTGTGGTGCATCAGCATATTATTATTCACCAAGGTGACAGAGAGACTGAGAGATGTTGTGTGACTTTGCACAATGTGAGGTTCCTCCCCACGGGGCCAACCTGACAGAAACTGCTAATTACACCTCTTGGTTTCAAGACAGGTGGAGACAGAAAGAAATAGGAGATGTTATATACAAGAGTGTGGAAGGCCCTTTATATATGTGTGTGTGTGTGTGAAGAGGAGGAAGGAGAAATATGTCTTGTTTTTATGAAAAAAAAAAAGGCTGATGATTAAGTGACGATTTTCCAACTTTTTACAGAAACTTTTGGTAACGCTTTATATTAAGGTCCTTGTAATAAGCATTAGTTAATAGGTAATAAGACCCTTTTAAGTCTTACAAGACGCTTATTAACATTATTTTGAGATTTTAAGACTATATAAGTGTTAATAATGTCATTTACATAGAGTTAATATCAGACTATAAGAGAATTATAAGAACTTGTAACAAACTTGTTAGATGCTTAAGGACCTTGATGAAAGCCTAATCTCAAAATTTCGACTTTATTGACATAATTTTGATTTTTTTTAAATCTAAAAATTTAACTTTAAACTCCTTCCTGTAATTATTTTTTTCTCTCTTCATGTGGCCCTAATCCTCTTCTGTACTTTTCCCTGTAGGAGAGACAAAAAAAGTTTACAATGAAGGCAGTTTGGGTTTAGTGTAAAAGAACGAGGGGGAAAAAAAGAGAAAAGTTTGCATTTTTCCTCATCAAACTGTCTTCTCCACCATCTTTATTCTTTTTTTTTTTCTTTCCCGTGTTTAAAAGTCAATAAATACTCCAAAGTGAGAAAGTTCAGAGTTCTTCAAAGTCAAAGTCACCTCCAAACTCAATCCCCATGCTGTACTGTACTACCATGCATTATTAAGAGCCAACTGTGTTAGTAAAAACCCAAAAGACCCCAGGGAAAGGGATTTAAAGGGCTGGAATTCATCCTAAAACAACTTCAGTGGAGGCAGATTCCTATGCTGGCTGGCACTGATGTTGATGTTTCTTCACGGCTTCTCCTGATTGCTGTAGTGCCAAATTTGTGGAGCACTGAAGCGCAACATATTTTCCTGTTTCCTCACCGTGAAAATCATTAAGCGATAGAAGGCAGTTGAAGAAGGGATTTGGATGAAGTGTGTGAGGTAGGCAAACACTCTCACGGTCTCTTGTAGCTCAAAAAGACTCTGATTTTCAAACTTTTTCTCACTTTTACAATGCACTTACAATTGATGGGCTCTTTTTGGATACTTTAAAGCACATTGGGCTGAGTTGTTAAAACATGTTTTGCTTGTAAAGATGGACCCAATCTAGGCAAAAATTGAGGTGCAGGGTATAAAGATGCTTTGAGCATTCATAGGTGTGTTTAGGAGTAGTATTCAGCCTGGTTTATGCTTCTGCATTGACCCTACATCACACCTATATAGCATGCCGATGACATCCAAATGTGATTTTGACGTCTGAAACTGGTTAACATAAATCTTGGACCAATTTTGCACATTGACACGACTTTTAGATTCGGTGGTGGACAGCACATCCAAATTACGTGTTCAACATCAGTTCAACGTCTAAAAGTGGTACAATAGTGGCGTGTAAATCTTGGATCTATTTTGCACATTGTGCCAACATCTAGACTTGATCCTTGTCAGACCACACGCACATGTCCAGATGAGGTACAAATGTGGATGTCATTTCAACGTCTAAAAGAGGTCCAATATTGATGTGTAAGCTTTTGATCCATTTTTCATGTTGTGCCAACGTCTAGATTTGGTCTTCAGATGACGTCCAAATTCTAAACATCAGAGCGACGTCTTAAAAAAGGTCCAATTTGGATGTCCATATTTCTAACCTATTTTGCACATTGCACTGACGTCTAGACGTGGTCTTTGGCGGACCGACCCAATACTGACTTGATCTGCACGTCTCTTCGACGTCTGATGTTTGGTGGGATAGTGACTGATACTGTTGTGAGTACTTGTGCATTGTAGTGTCCATGTCCCTTTACTTTACTCTTTCTGACAGCTAGTTAGCAGTGTGGTTCCCATGCTCATTATATCACTAGTTTCTGGCTCCACTATGTTACATGCAGGAACAAGTACAGGAAACCATGGCGACTAAATCTGAGCATGTTACTTTTTAATTGAAAAAGAGAGCAGACTTAAGAGACAGAATTTACAGCCGTCAAGTCAGAGGAAGGCAACAGGTATGAAATGGAAAAGTCTGCCACCAAGGGGACCAGGCCTCACAGGAAGGAGTCTTTGTAGATACAAGGCTACCTGAACCTGTAATGCTATGGCCAAGCTTGGGTGCAGAAGGACACTATGTATTCATACTGTATGTAATAGTTTTGTTAGTTTCTCATACTAGTTTTAAAAAGTCGAAATATATTTCAGATATACATTTAGGGCCTGATCTACTAAAATCCCAACTAACAAGCACTAAATTGTGTGTGCAAACTGAAAATTGCACGTGCTACTAGTTAGCATGTTGCATGTGATCTACTATGATTGTGTGCACATTGATAACAGGTATGAAAGCGGTGCGAGACGCCCTATTTAAATGAGGATTTTTGCACCCATGCCTCCTTCGCTGTCCCAGTTTGCGCCTGCCTTCTAAACATGCTACATATCGATGCAAAAACACTGAACGCAATCTGTTTCAGGGTTTGATAAATCACATTGCAGGTGCTAAACATGTTCTCCCCCCAGTATTTTGCACGTTCTGATAATCTGCATATATTCTGCATATTCAGAAAGACAAACACACTAAATGGATTGCGCGGTATTTTGCTCATTTGACAGATGCAATCCTCAGTGTACCCAGTTAGTAAATCAGCTTTGCACGCTATCAAGTTTGCATGTTTTTGTACACGCAAACCTTTAGTAGATCAGGCTCTTAGTTTGGTTTGGGATCCACAAGGCGCTGGGGTCATGATCTAACATGCTTTTAGACAGATATCATATTATTGATGCCAGCTGTTATTCTTTGAGATCCATCTCTCTCCTTGAATCCCTGCAAACTATTCCAATATATGAGAACACCTCAATGTTACCTCAGGACATGACATGACATTTAAACTTTGAGCTGCTGATAAATGTTACTTTTGTGTGTGATCATCTCTGCTAGAAGCAGCAGCTTGTAGAGCTGATAGCCAACCTGGGTGAAACTGTTTTAGGAACATTTTGTTCTAAACTGAGTCTATAGCATCTGCTGCAGTGATTAGAGTTTAGATCAGAACAAAAAGGTTATACACGACTCGCTCAAGGGATGGTTATACGTGCAGGATCGGACTAAGTGTGGGCTCTTTGAGAAGCTTTGGTTGTTTCTCATTCCTTATGTTTGTTAATAATGATAACTCATTCATATCTAATGAAATTGGCCTGAAGCGTTGAAACACAAGTCTACTGTTGAGAAAAGGAGAGAGGAGAGAAAAACAGACAAAACTAGAGCATTGGCAGCTGCTTGATTTCAAATTGATGCTGAAGAAAGAGGACAGAGGGAAGGAATATAGTCCGGGAGAGGCAGAAAGACAAGATGAAAAATCACCTGCTGTGCTGTCATGTGTTTGGCCTTAAACAAATTGATTTTCGCAATGTGAGCCAACCATTGCCATCTGCACTGAAACAATAAGACATGAGTTCAAGAAACGCATGGAGAAAGTATATGAAAAAAGGAGAAGAAGGAAACCTACTGCATGGAGTGGATTGCCCTGATCAATCGGCACCTTGAAGTCAGCCTGGAGCTCATCAAATGCTGTTATCTGTGAGAGAGAGAGAGAGAAGAGGAGAAGAAGAGGAGAAGAAGAGGTGATGAATGTTTAATCAGTAAAACAGAAGAACAATCACTGATCTTTCTCACTTTGAAAGCATATTGCTACAGCCAATAGTTGTACATGTTTCTGGGCTTCAGAGGACAGCATTTCTGTAGGGCTGCTAAAACTGCGACATGTAACACATTCGATATCTCAAAATCTTTTCAAAGTAGTCTCATAACTTTTTAAATATTTACTGTCCTATTTCTCATAAGTAAGACGAACCGCTTACTGATTATTTCTGTTCCTGCTGCAGGAAAAGAAATGATTTTTTTCTTTTGTTGTACATTTTATTGTTTAGTTCAAATACTGCTCTGTTTTAAAACACGTTTCCAGTGCTTATGCTACTGCCCACAAAATTTGATGAAGATGTGTTTGCTCTCATCAAATGCTTTATGTAACTCCTGGAGGTAATTGAAACAAATATAGGACAGCATTAAGTATTCATTTCACTCTATTTCAAACCAGCCTAAACCACCTCACAGGGGCTTAAAACAGGCTGAAGTTTGTGGACAATCCCAACTAGGGCTGTAATCAAACAAAGAAATTCATGGTTGATGATAACCCTGAAATTGGGGGTCCGACTCTGACGGCCAACACTTCTGCAGCAGGGGATAACGCGGCTCGGTGAGGCGCGGCGCGGCAGGGTGAAAATATACTGATATAAACCCAAGAAGACAATTAAACATGATGAAAGTTGAAACACTCGAAATAAAAGTAAATATTCAGCAAACCACCGGACGCCGATCAAGTGGGTTGGGCGAATCCAAAATGGTGAAAACAAGGGGGTGTTCTGAGACAGGCTGTGAAATGGGGGTGCTCTGAAATAAACCCCATTAACACTTGGTACGTTCCTCCTGATGAAATTATCATAGACTGTAAACTGACGTGGAAAAAATTGAGTCGTCCAATCAGAATTTTGTTCAACTCAGCACATATTGACCAATAAGTTGACCAGTCAACCACGACTTTACAGCCCTACTGCCAACCCTTTTCGTTTGCCAACACTTACAGTACCACAATATTTGCAAATTCAGGCTTATAGATTGACGGAGCTTTTTTTTTTTTTTTTTAGAAATTCTCAGGATATTCATCATAAATTTTGTCAATTCTGTAGGAAATCAGTATTTCTTTTGGTGGTGAAACACAGTTTAAACCTATTTCCACACCTCCAAACAGATTGTGTCTTATTTACTGGTGGCACTATATTTGTAGCCTTTCAGAATAGATTTACATTTTCAGCTGAGGTGTTTCGGGTTGTCTGCCACAACACAACAGGGGAGCTGGAAAGCACTGCAAAAATAGTTGATGCTCTTTTTCATAGTCATTTCATTATTTTGTTTCTATGGAACATTGACAGGATGATGGCTGCTTCAGTCTCTGGTTCCAGATATGACTTACATTTCATTTTTACAATTGACATACAATGTGTTGAGGAATTAAGAATGTGCTGAGGACATCTGGAGTAAAAGTCTGGGGTTTCAGGTGGAAGGCTTTGAGGAAAAGGAGTCTGGGAAATTGTGAGAATACTACCGGGCCGACGAGGGTGGAGGCAGGGGTGGAGAAATCTCAACAACCCTCTCCTCATGTGGTGTCAGAAAAATAAGGGTCTGATCGTTAAACTTAATGTGAACATCCCCTGAAGACAGGACAATAACAAGAAGAGTCAGAAGAAATTTTGGTACACAACCTGTCAAGTTGACAGACTTCACGTCATATTAAGCAGATACATGGCAGAAAAGTGTCAGGCCTGACTGTGAGTAACTGCCTTTAAATGTCATGACAGAAATATTTTTTTTCCTCACTGGATTTGGAATTTTTTAAAACAGAAAAAAATCCCCCCACTCCGAACGTGTAATCAAAAACTTGATAAAAGCAAATAAGATACACAAAGAGGGAGACATCAAACAGTTATGAAATGAGACAGCCAAGCGACAGGGTGGTCATTTCAAAGCAATACCGAACAATTACAAGGAGTGGCACACAGGGCTTGACACAGAAAAAAATCCTGTGCCTGAAAAATTTTTATGCCTTTTTGGACATGATTTAGAAAAAAATAAAAATCTGGAGCCAGATTTCCAGCATTGTGCTGGAGGTCTTCAAGCCTTGGGCACAACTGCATGATGTGTCTGTTATGTTACAGTCCACTGCTGTTTTTCATGATCGCTATCAGATATCAGTTTTAAGTAATCAGTCTGTGTCCCTCTTTCAAGGTTCTTTCAAACCGGGAGCGTTTTTTTCATGCGATTATTTCGGACGTCAATATTTTTTTTCGACCCGTATCTAGTCAATACAAGCGTTCACATCAGCAACGTTTTCCCGTCCTGTGATACTCTAAAGTTTCGCATACTGTGTGTCCATCTCTGACCAATCAGACTGCGTGTTGTTGTGACGTCTGATTCACCGGTATATCCAACATGGCTGACCGGCTGATTGTTTACATGTCGGAGAACAGAGTGCTTTATGATAAAAGACACAAACATTACAAAGATAACAACCTGAAGGACAACTTGTGGAGAGTCGTAGCTTCGGATCTCTCATATGACGATAGTTTGTGTGCTTTAACAGTTTGCTAAACGTCTTTGTTTTAACTTTCATCTGTGCTAAGTAACTTTAGCTCGTAAGCTAACCTGTTCAGATACAACATACCATATGTATTTTCACTGTCTCAAACTTAATCAGAGCGTTGCTGTCACAGCACCATTAGGTCTCGATTGTTACCTTATGTTTATGGATTATTTTTTAATGTGCTTATCTGCTACTGGCCCCAACTCAGTACATGCTATCATGACAGACAGACATCTCAACACTAGTGTCTAAACAGAACTGAAAGACAGTCAGGCTGCTGTTGTGTCAGTCTTCTGGCTTCCACCCAGGACACGTCTTTTTTCCCCCCGGAAAGTCGCAAAATCACATTGGGCTTGATGTGTATAGTCAGATGCGTTAAAATTCACCTGCGAATATTTCGTAATTTCACGTCATATATTCGCGTCGGTCCTGGTGTGTAAGGAACTTTAAAGTCATAAATACCCAAAAGTAGGGCTGTTAGGTCCTAGTTGACTGGTCTATTTATTGGTCGATATGTGCTGAGTCGACCAAAATTCTGATTGGTCAACTTGATTTCTTTCCGAGTCAATTTACAGTCTATGGTTAATTTCATCAGGAGTAGCGTACAAAGTTCCAATGGGAGTGTTTTCGGAGCACCCTCGTTTCACAGGTAACAGCCTGTCTCAGAACACCACCCTTGTTTTCACCATTTTGGATTTGCCCGACCCAATGGAGACCGGCGGGAGACAGGAGGATTGAAGGTCATTTACGTTAATCAACGTCAGGTAGTCTGCTGAATATTTATTTTTCTTTTGAGCGTTTCAACTCTAATGTGTGACCTCCTCTACCATGCATGTTAAAGACTCCACTGAGCCGTGTCGTCCCCCGCTGTTGAAGGGTGTGCCGTCAGAGTCATATTAGTCAATTTTTGGTCGAAAATTTAAGTGTTTTAGTCAGCCAAGAATTTCTTTGGTTGGTTACAGCCCTACCCATGAGGCATCCACAAAATTCCTCTCAGTCAAACAATTTAGCGATCAAGACAAGACCTTCATCAATGTCCTGGTCAAGAAAATAGAGAGAGGAAACAAGGGTGCACCAAATGGAGAGATGGGAGGATGGAATAAATGTATTAGTGTCAACGTAAGTGGCACAAGTAGCAAAAAAAAGTGCAGTCCATCTACTCTGAAACTAAGGGGCAAGTTCCTTGTGAAAGTCTGCTGATAAAGAGACCCACAGAAGTGACCCGTTTAGGCATTGAACTGTCCACATCAGAGCCCTCATGCAGTGGATGATTTGACATTGGAACAGCCCTGAGCCCTCACACACAAAGTGAGAACATGCCTCAAAGTGTGTGAGTCTGTCAGTGCGGAGGGCTGGATTGGACCAGAGAGGGCAATGAAAAGAGCGGAGGGTGAGAGTGAATGGGAGAGGCAAACTGTGACACATCTGCTTAACGGTGTGATCAACCTGCTGCACTCTCATCAACTTCTCACACTGACGCCGTATGTGGCTCGAGTGTTCTTGAAGTTGCCATTACAAGGAGAGATTGTGTCCCCACATCCTTGATTTTAAGAGCCAACTCCTCCTTGTCATCAGCGGTACAATCGGCCCCAGTTAAACAAATCTATCCTGAGATCCAAAACTTACAAGAGACTCAGACATCCGAACCTCTTGGATTGGAGTCATTTGATCTTGCACGGTGAAAAAGCTTTGAGTAATCATATCAAGTAATGACGAATCAAGGCAAATATTCACAACAGTTTCATCTGTGTTGCAATGGAGGCAACTGCACTACAAAGACAGATGTCATTTCTTGACGAGTTGAGCCTCAGGAGGGAAGTATATGAGAGAAAGAGTCGTGATATAAGTGCGTAAAGCTGTAAGATGTGAGGGTAGCATTATTTTATGTGTGGGGCCAAAAAGGACAACCACTCATCGGGTGTTTTTTTCGGCACTGAAGAAAGAAACAGAGGAATCAGTGACATGTGGGTTTGTACATGTGAATGTGTGTTTGCCCAGAATGGGGAATTAACATCAGAGACAGCAGAGGTTTGCACCAATCCCTGATTATTTCCCAGGGCTCGCCCCCGCACTGTCAGGCAGCTCTTTACATGTTATTTCCCAGTGGATCCCAACTGTGATCCTGGCTCATTGCCTCGGTCTGTTACTGTGTTAACCTCCTCCAGGCTATTTCTCATGGGCGACAGAAACACACACACACACACATATGCACACACGGTCTTCATGGGTGCTCACATCTAGGCATGTACAGAAAGAGTGTGTGTACTGGTGCACACAATCATAGTGCAGCAGAAATATCTCTCCTGTACACCTGTCTTCACCACATGGGAAGAAGATTACAGACTGGATCTCCAAGTGGATGTCAGGCTTAAAGGATCATTAAATTTAGAGCACCTCTGCTCTGAATTTGTTTATTTTAGCTGTCTTACAAACAATCGTTGGAGACTTGACAATATTGCTGAGATGTGATTGGCTGAAATACGGTTAGAGAATAGGACATCTGAAAGACATTTGGCTTCAATCCACTCTAATTCAGAGTTTTCTCTTTAGACTTTACTCTAACTCATTCCAGTGAAGCCACTTTTTAGGTATTTTAGCAATGATTTCCACTTAGGAGTCATGTCTTCTTTCGATGCAGTGCTGCCTGAAGGCCTGAAAAAATACTGGCTATTCATCCACCAGTTTTCAGCTTTGTCCTCTAAGTAGAGATCTCTTAATATTCCCTGAATTTTTGAAGGATATTATGTACTGTTACCTTAATTCTTTGCAATCTTACACTAAGGAATATTATTGTATCATTGACTAACTATTTGCTCACACAGTCACTCACAGATTGGTGATTGGGAGATGTTCTTCCAGAAGTTCAATTTAGCTTTACTCAACTTTTTTTCAATTCCAACAGTTTTAAAGCCTGTTGCTAAGCCTACATTTCTCATAAAAACAATAAAATTTTTCAGCATTGACATTTAGTACAATGTCTTTGCTCTATTCGAAATGAAACTTGGGAGTTATTGAATTTAAATAATCCTACATCCAAAACTCTGGTCAACGGTTGTGTCAACATATACCTAACACTATTAAGGACAATAAATCCAAGCTATAACTGTCTCCAAATCATTCATGTAAATGAATTACATGTTAAGTCAATGCATAGACGCTCCTACTACTCCGGGCGGGAATGACGTGAATTGGGCATGAGCTGAACATGTCTCAACTTCAGCAGATATTTGCGTTGCAATTACTGCATAAAGGTTGCCGGCTGATGTATGAAAATGGACGGTTGTTCACTGGTATTTAAAATGGAGGACAAACTGATCATGTCGGGGTGTGCGTGTCCCGGATTAAATGATACCTTTTCTTTCATTTACCAAAACCGGAGCAAAAAGGAGCTCACCTGGAGGCAAGTGAGTGAAGAGGTCAGATACTCGGTAAATTGAAAAATCGTTTGTCTATCACTTCGTCCTGCTGGTTGAATTGGAAGAGATTACCATTGAAATTCCCGATGACGCGCAAATGATATGAGTAAATACTATTCATTCATAAATCTAGATTCACTCACACCAAGTGCGAGTAGATAATTTTACTCGCACTTGGTGTGAGCGCCCAATAATGCTCTACTACCCGGATGCAAACAAGCACTGGCATTTTGTAGCACGGTGGAGTTTGGCCATATTTTGATTTAGAAGATTGATGTGGGCTGTGTCTGGTTAAACTAGTGAATACACACATAATATGGAAACCAGAAAAGGCTTTTTGAACGTCGATCTGGAGGGGGACCAAAGGCTGGTGATGCTGACAGAGCTAATATTAGCAACAGAGAGCAAACCAATTTGGCACGGTTCACCCACAGACTCTATGATCCTGTTTTCAGATGTTTCGGGTATGTTGTGCTCAGTCTTTACTGTTTTTTGAGTGTTTCCTTCCTTTAAGGTTAGTCGGTTAGTTGGATTACAAATTCCATTTAAACAACAAGGAAATTAGATGGTCGAACATACCCACAGTTAACTCAACTGGATTTCGACAACCTATTGTCACCAATCGATTGTATCCATGATCTCAATCTCTCAATATTTTGCTTCAATTGTAAACTTAGACTTCATAACTCACTTTAGACAATCCTGACTCTCTACAACAGAACTGTATCTATCTTGAACAGAAGTTGTTAATTCAGTCCTATTTGTCCATGAGCTGCAGACCACAAGACCAAACACTCAAATCCACAATATGCTTCAAGGGTGAGTCCTGCTTAATATCTGCTGGCAGTTGCTTTGGGTTTGTGTTTGCAAATTCAGTCCTAGTTTGGTGTGTAAGTTGACTTTGACAGATTGCTTTGAAGTCAAGGTTGGCTGGCAGAGGCAGAAAAACAAATTGGCACCCTCTCCTTCTCTCTAGGCACTCAGAATTGGACAAAAACAGCGTGTTTCAAAGCAGACCATGGCTGCTTGTGGATTAACACCTTGCAGAGAGTGTGTTTTTGCAACAGAGGGGAACAGAGAGATCAATGTTGCTTGGTTTGTTACATTTTGTGGTCTGGGTATAAATTTTGCTCTTTTAAAAGTCATTCAATTTGTAGGGGCCATAATAATCCATAAACATGTTTTTCCCTCCGTGTGGCCTTTAAGGCATTCATTTGGAAAAGAACAAGATTAAAAACAACAACAGCAATCAGAGAAACCTCCGCTATAATGTGGGAGACTACAAGGTCTTCTTTAATTATTCAAAGCCTTGTCTCAATTATTCATTGGGTTTTAAGCCCACTCAACTTAGGTCAATTTTCAGCACAACCATTTCTAACTAACCTCGGTCGTACAATTAAAAACATGGTGAAGCAGGTTCCAAACACAGAGTCTCATTTGCATAAGACAATTGACATTTGAATAACTCAGACCATTTTTATGCATTGCGTCCGTTCATCTGCCATCACAAAAAGGCGTGATACAAACTTTACAACACAGGCTCTTCAATTTGCCCATAAGGAGGATTACATGTTCATCTTATTTCTAGGACTAAAATGCAGCATCTACATACCCAGGAATAGAGAGATCCTATATTGGTTTCATTTCATTTTTCAGTATGTTCAGCAAAATGCATTTGAAATGACTGGCAGTGATTTGCAAAATCTACAAGCCCTTAAAGACAAATTATAAAGCAAAGCTTCTGGCTCAGGCGAGCGTTGCAAAATAAAAATCGGCAATCAGAGATCTTCAGGACTGTAAAAAAAAAAAACACATTAAAAAATAGAAAAACATCCCCTCTCAGGCAGACTTCCCAGAGGTCACTGGATGTCCATGTGCTTGGAGTTGGCTTGCATTTTCATTGCTAACATGCTCCTGTCAGTGTCGGCCTGTATCTGTGCTGAACACCTTGGCAGGGGGAGACAGCTGGAGAAGGCAGCTACTCTGATGTTAATAAACACTGCTGGCACAGTTAACCTCCTTCTCCACTGTGACGAGATCAAATGAAACAAATCCCTTCCTTCCAGAAAACGTCTACATCAGCACTCTGTATGCATGATTCAGCTGTCAGGGCTCTCAGAGAGGGACTGAGGCTACATCAAAAAACATATACATTTCTAGGCCATCAGTAAACCTTACGAACTGAGGGTGCTGCGGGTCAGTACTAGCCTTTTTCCAATATCAATAGATGACTTTCCAGAGGCTTTATCAGCATTACTAGCAGTTGGTAATAAAATAGAGTAAAGATTCATCTTGGTTAAAACTTTACGTTTAAACTATGGCAAGTGGTCACTAGGGGGCATGAGAGCGCCGCTCCACTCCATAAAGAGAAAGGCAGCCAATTATTTTAAAAAATATTTTTGAAAATAAGTCAAACTTAGGTTTCAGGTTTAGTCCATAGACTGTATACTATGGACAACTTGGTTCCGCCTTCCATCGGCATCTTTGAGTTCTTTGTGTCTCTTTGACGATTTGTCGTAAGGTGTTGAGCTAGAGAAAGCGGAATGGTCAGCTGTTTTGACCCGGAGCAACTCCCCTTTTCATTGGCTATTTGTATAGTCTACCAATACATGGCAGAATGCCGATTATCAAAAAGCATATTGACCATGTTTTATATCGATATCGAGGGAAATTCATTTTCAGTATATATATATATATCATTATCGTTTTATTGCCCAGCCCTAGTGCACGTTCATTTGTAGCTTTAGTGTCACTGCTAGCCTTGGTGATGTGTGTGCATACAAATTTAGCAGTTTCAGTCCTCAACTCATCGTTTTACTATTTCAGCTGAGTTCAGAGGAGCTCATGGGAAGAATGGACAAGCCTCCTACTTTCAAAATTTCAGCCTGTGATGCTGACACAAGACGCACTACCTACTCCAACCAAAACACTTTGTTCGTGAAGCTGCTGGGTACACTTGGCAATCAGAAGAGAAAGATCAGGTTCTCCGGAACCAAACCAAACCAAACCAGTCTGCTTGAATCAAAGCTCTTACTCTGGTTATTTTCTGCTCCAACACATTTGGTAGTTCAGAGAAACCCTCACCGTTTGATACCTAAAGTGCACCAAAAAAAGAGACAGTCTGTCCTCCTGCCCCAGAAGGCTTCACAAACAAACAAACAAAAAAAAAAACGCTCACATATGCTCGCTTAATGTTTTGGTATTTGATTATGACCAGAAATAAACTTTTTCAGATGCAATATCTACCCCAGCTGTAGTTATACTCATTTCCAACCAGACTTATTATGTTTTAACACAACAACCTCATTTAGATCACATTACCCAGGACCTAACATTTGCCATACTTGATTTTGCACTGTAGCGCATGCTTTTAGAAATGCAGTTGATAGCTGCTGAAGCATGAGGAAACAATAACAGCTCTATTATGACACTTTGATGAATAGTTGTTGTCTATCTGTATAAATGGATTGAAGGATGGATAGATAGAAAGATAGACACACACACACACACACCAGGTTCTGCTGTAAAAGTCATGATAATTTGAGTAAAGACTTTATGTAGCTCTATAAAGCTCTTTAAAAACTGATATTTTTTAGTCTTAGATGCATCTTATCTTTTATGATTTAAAACATGCTCTGCCTCTGAACTAATCATCTCTCCGTCTGACAAAACTTTACCACTACATTCCACTAAATTACCATGTGAATGATCTCGTTTTTGACAAACTTCACTACATATATATGCTTGTAATTGACAGCACTGAGCAGCTAATCAGACCTGTGTCTCGTATGATGATCATCTTTGCAATCAAAAATGAATCATTAACACATTTCTTTCGTAAACCTAGAGCAATCTCGAGAAATCCTGCTGATTTGCATTAACCGCAGTGTGGCTGGTGTTGCTCATCCTCCTGGCACTTGATTTTATTCCCCATTGTAAAAAAGCAGTAGATTCTCCCTAACTCGTGTGGAGGAAAACCGCCCCAAGTATGATCACTTAGCCCGGAGAAATGTTCAAAAACAGTTCGAAGTACAAAACTCCAGCCGGAATTCACTTTCAAATGACAAAAAAATCAAGCCGGAGTTCAAATCAGATAAAAGGGTGAAAAAGAACTGCCCCTGCAATCCTACATTGTACACACTGAACAATAGAAACAGTGTAGTCAGAATGATGGATGAGGAGCCAGCAGGGGTTAATGAACACAGATCAATGCTGAGCTAACCCGGCTATACACTAAGCACCACCTCCATTACAGCCTCTAGTGCATGGTGCCACAAAGCTCCGTTGACTGTTTGCTTCACTGAGATTACAATCAATTGTATCACCTCTGCATTTCTCCCCCTGATATCTTACTAAGGCACCTTGATCATGTTTTCAAGCACATTTCTCTAAATCTATTTTCTCGGATTCCAAGTTTAAAGGGTCTTCATTGATCAGTAAACATGGAAAGTCTAAAAAGGTGAATGGAGGATGTCATTAAGTGGGGCAGAGAGGACGGTATAGCACTGAGGAGGAACGCCAACGAGTGAAGATTAAAGGTAGCAGAGAGCTTGTGCACTGCCTACACCATCTCTAAGAATGACCTGCCATTCAAACCTCAGCCAACTAAAATAAATTATAGTCTGACACCCAACAGTTATTATGTGATAATTACAGCTCAGTGAATAATGAGTTAATTAGGCTGCTGGACCTGTTGGCATAACATTAACGTGTGATGACTGTAGCATTATTATTCCCACGCTAACTGAAATTAAATTTTGAAAAAAACGTTTAAAAAAATCATAAATCACACGCAGCTGAGGACCCGGACTTTTGCTGTAAAAATCCAGTTTTCATGACTTGGCTGATTGTGAAAAATGATTTTCATTAGTAGACTAGCGAGGTATCTTTAAGCACACTTCTGTGCAGACTCATTACTTTTTACTGCATTTTAAAGAAGAATAGTGTACTTTTGACTCTACAATATCAAAGTGTTCTCATTATCTGCTACAGCCGATGATTTGTTGTTTTTTTTTACATTCTATCCAAAAGTCAATAAACATGTTCGTGTTATTCTGAGTGTAGTTTGTCCAAGCAGTGTTGCTGGTGAGTATCTTTGATTGAAACAGAGCAAACACAGATTGAATAGATAAAAGCAGATTCTCCACTTCAGCACCCATGACCAGAATATCTGATATTATTTGAAATGTTTGCTCCGTTTACTTTATCACAGCCTTCAAAAATGTCAAATCCAGCCTGAGAAAGCATGTCAAGGTAGGTAGTTCAAAGGAAGATGTCCTCTGCTGGCAGTGACGAATTTGCCATTAATAAATGTCGTCCATATTTCTTTTTATTGAATTGTCTGTCGATCTAGCGATGGAGTTACAAGTACAAGTACAAGGTGAAAATGTGGTGAAAATGTGTGTATGTCTTAAGTCTTTTAGTTTCAATTTATAGTTTTGTCGATGTTCAAAGGCTTAGGGGCTCGACCTATCCAGAGACTGTGTGTATGCAACAAAAAGCACGCCGTTATTGTACATTCAAAGCTGAAAAAATGGCAACTACATCCCCCCTGTGCACAAGAGATGCATCCAGCTACAGCTCGGATAGATTCACAGATCTGGTTACCGCTTTAAAGTGACTGAAATCACTCCCAGGGTCTGACTGTCAGGCCACTGGGATGTTTTTTAAGAGAAGCCTATAAAAGAGAGAGGGGAGACAAATGGAGGTGAGGAGGAATGTTGTCTCCTCTTGACTAAGCACTGATATCCTCGCCTCCACAGACCCTCAGAACCCCAAATGTGGTCACGCAACCTGAAGGACAGAAAAATCTGTCCTTCTCTGCTGAACATCACAGCAGAGAGGGAGGAATGGAGGACAGCCATCTCCTTCATCTTCCAAAAAAACAGTGAGACACCTCTCCACACTCACACAGTCTAGTTTATAACTCAGTTTCAGGGTATGACAATAGTCCCTGAACACATCACTTCAGCCATTTTTTGGTCATTAATTATTCCCATATTACACTTTGTGGTGCTAATGCACCAGTCCTCCTGTATTTTTAAAACCCAAATGTTGGATGAATTTTGCCGACCGCTTGCTTCTCTAGTTATACCAACTTTAGTAACGGTCGCACAATAGCAATACACAGCGGTCCCAGAAGCCACACGCTCAACCAAAACGCCACTCTATAGCCACAAATAATGCTCAGAACAACACCTAACTTCATCAACAGGACATATAGGGTCCCAGCCATAGTACTAGCCACCAAACATCTTTAACTTTGCCTGATTTCATTAGCAAAAGGATTATCTATCTATCTATCTATCTATCTATCTATCTATCTATCTATCTATCTATCTATCTATCTATCTATCTATCTATCTATCTATCTATCTATCTATCTATCTGACGAGTCCATTATGGACTGCAGCGGGGTGACACAGCTCAATACAACTGGAAGAGAGTAGGTGAGTTGTGTTCAGTCCCTTTGCTAAAAAAATCAGTCAAAGTTAAAAAGTTGTTTGGTGGCTAGTGCTGTTGCTGGGACCCTATATGTACTGTTGATGAAGTTAGGTGCTGTTCTGAGCATTATTTGTGGCTATAGAGTGGCGTTTTGGTTGAGGTTTGTTTATGGTTCCTCAGACCGCTGTGTATTGCTATCGTGCAACCGTTACTAAAGTTGGTATAACTAGAGAAGCAAGCGGTCGGCAACATTCATCTCTCGATGTGGTGCCTAACTTGTTGTTACAGTGTGTTTCACCCTAACTTAATATCCTTTTAATATTTTTCTATGAACAATTATTAAAAAAAAACTGTTTGATTTTTTTGCCACAGTGTGTGAAGATGACATATGTCACACCTCTCCTGTAGATTGATTTGGCATGTCTGATCCGGTTGTCCTTGGTGTCACTCTCTTTTTATTTGAGAAGTAAACTCTGTTACTATGTGGCTCTGACCAATTACAATCAAGTAATGTAGTGGGTATTAAAACTGTGGTAGCAGTTGCTGGGTTTAGTAAAAAGTATCTTTCTAAAGGGACATTTTTATTATGATAATTATTTCTGAGTGGGGCAAAAAAAAAAAATACAGACAAAATACACAGATGTGTTGTGAAAGGGGAAAAAAAAGGACAAGACAAAGACAAACAAGGGCTTAACATATAAGTATACATGTTTGTAAAGGACTGGGGTGTTGAAGGGCTGTATGCATGTGTGTGTCTTTATTACAGATTTAACTACAAGGCTAATAATGTGTTGCCCTCTTGATTCTTCCAACAAATCACTGCAAAAACTAGAGTGCTGAGATACCAACAAAACGCCTCGAACTATCTCATGACAAGATCTTTTCAAGTCCATTTCAGTGTTTAATGTCTACCCTGAAATCCCTTATTGAACTAGTTTGTATCTGTCTCTGTACCCTTTGTATAGCCGATCCTTCAGAATAAAAATAAATTAAATGGATTTGTTTAACGGAAATTCAATCAGAAAGCCTGGAAAGATCATTTATCCCAACAAAAGTCAAAGCAGCCAATTCTAAATCTGAACTGATTTGCTTTTCAGTCAACTCTGTGCTGAATGCAGACCTCATGTTGAGAATGTTATGCATGAATTTGACTGAGATGATCATTTAATCTATTAGGATAATAAATCTACCTCACACAATTCAAACACAGTTGAACACATTTGTAACAAGAACTTTAAGGATATTGTTCGTCATCTTTCTAAAGACATGAGCAGGCACTTAAAGCGCCCTCTCCAGTACCAGACTTGTCTTGCTGAGCAGAGTTGGTCTGTTCTTCTGTCTCTTGTTAATTATTTGTTCTTGATCTCTTTGTCTACTTCCTACTTTTATGTCTCATGTTGTCAGGGGCCTGTCTCCTGGAAAGGCTTGATCCTTCTCAGGACTGTTCCTGTTCACGCTACGAAGAAACTTCAGCCCTCCGACGGAGAACTGAAATGCATTTCCTATCACCCTGTGTTCTTTTGATCTCCCCCCCATCTGTTTAGCTGCCTACTCACAGCTTTGCATCTGCCTTTTCCATCCTTTTAAGTCTCGTCATCATTTTGTACTTTATTCCACATTTATCCCGCAGTCCAATCTGTCCTGGACTTATCTTCCGGTAAGACAAATCTGTAGTCTCTCTGGCCTTTCCCCTTTTTATTCTCCACCATCCCATCACTCCTGCAGCTCCTGTCATTTCTCCTCCTTTGGCACTTTGCCTCACCCCCTTTCATCTATCTTCCAGTGACTTTGTCAGTCAGTCCTTTCCCTCAGGGGCCTGAACAGTGACTCCCCAACAGACTGTAGATGTCTGACATGTTGCAGAACACAAGAACAGGCCTCAAGCCGGCTGAGGTAAAAATGCAAGACATGAAATATCTTTCTCCAGTCTTTCCTTCAATTTAGTATCTATGACTGAATGATCTGAAATGCAGGTTATGAAGTGTAGTGAACAAAGTGGATCAGGGTGTGTTCTGCTTACTTGTCAAGCAGTGCATAATCTGGATGATAAGTGAGGCACAGGACACAAAAGGAACGGATTAAGTCGCTCGTATAAGTACACTCATGAACGTGTATGAAAGTATCATGAACAAAATCAATTGATGTGTCTGCTTCTCACTGCCTTTATAAAAGTCAAGTCCACCTTCAGGCGGGCAAATCACTATTTCCTGGGTTCATTTCAGCCTCAACAAAACACTGAGATTGAGTTGGCACATATAACCTCTGTACTTCCATTGTGCTTCTGAAAATACAGAAAACACTCACAGGTAGGGGTGTCCCAATACAATACTGATATCAGATACCGGTCCGATACAAGCAAAAAAACGGATATCGGATTATATCAGCCTGCATCTAAAATCTCCGATATCAGCACTCTGATACAAGCAGTCCATTCAAGACTCTGCTCCGACTTCTCTATCTAGCAGCGCCCTGATCCAGCAGGCAGAGACCACAAAATCCCAACAACAGTGTGCACTAAGGTACTAACAAAGTAGCAAGGAATAAGAGTGATGATGGCCTTGTGGCAGTATTCTGTTCAAGTCTGAAAAAGATGTTGCAGCTGAGTGAAAAACTTGTCCTGCATAATTTTGTGCCAATATCGGATCAATATCGGTATCTATCAATATTGAAGGCTAAAATATCGGTATCGTATTGGAAGTCAAAAATTTGTATCAGGACATCCCTACTTACAGGTCATATTTTTTTTTATCATGCCCGTGCATGAGTTGACTTTCCAAATTGAAAAAGGCAAACATGCATTTATGTTCAGTTTGATCATTCAAAACCTGGATATGCTGACAATATTGGACAGGAGCTAGTATTAACTAAAATATTGTTTATTTTGCATGAAAGAGTAAGATGTTTACTTTTGACTTGCTTTTTCTGCTTTTTTCACATGGCAAAAATCTGTAGGTATGCTGGAGGTGCTGTTACACTCAGTGTTTATGTTTGAGGATACACTTAGGTTGTGTGAGCATATCTGTCTGTGTCTGTCTGTGCACGTATTTGAGAGCACATGTGACAGAGAGCTTGGTGTCAGTCTTGGTCTGCAGTCTGTGAAGCACACAAGGCTGGGGAGAAAGCATTGAGGGTGTCCTCTTTTTCTGGCATCCCTTGATCCGCCCCATACTATATCAAGGATGTGTGGGGCCAAGGGGAAAATACTGGTGCCTTCAAGTGCTGTGTCTTAGTAAAGACTACTAACTACTACTACTACTACTACTACTACTACTACTACTACTACTACTACTACTACTACTACTACTACTACTACTACTATGAGTGTAAATAACAGAGGACTGGGCTTTGTGAACTCTTTTGTACTGACTCAGTTACGTCCTCTTAATAGCAGGAAAGTAATGTGCCATGGATATTTAGATCAAAAGTGCTTTCAGTGTTCTCAAAATGGCAACATGCCACCTTTGGAACTCACTTATTTGGAGACCAGTACACCTCTGGGTCTGAGCTCATGTGCTTTTTACACAATGTGGTTGCTGTGTGTGAAAATGACAACCGCCTCAAGGGATAAGATCGCCACACTTGCGCTGTATAGCAAGACATTACAGCAAATGTGCAGCAGGACCCTTAAAGTATATACACCACTTGCCCCCAAAACATAACCCTCAACACTTCCCCTTACTGCGAATATGTGTCCGTAAAATCTTCAACCCTCCTTCCCTCACATAGCAACCAGTAAAATCATTTTGTTTTGCTCCATCATCCGAGCACCATAGCGACAGCAGCAGATGAGATGAGGAGGCATTACAGTTGTTCTGTGTGAATGATTATTCACGCGACACCTCTATTAAACCTGTGAATGCCCTGTACGTGTCAAAATCGCAGTGTGATGCGAAGTCACACCGAGGAAAAAGGAGGGGATGCAAAAAAAAAAAAAAAACAGTGCAGCCGCGCCGTTCCCCTCCAGATCCATCCTGAAGTGTGCGTGAAATCCCGATGTGGGGTGTCGACTTGATGTTATTTGAACCAGCCTTTGCTTTGTGAGTGGTAATTTAAGTGAATAAGTAAAAGGCAAGTTGAAGAAAGGAGGGTGGAGAGAAAAGTGGTTTGGACTCAAAGCTTTCCTCTTCGGTTGCCAGGGCCATGTTAAGCTATACACAGGGTACTAAGCGAATTTGAGGGGACACCAGTCAGCATCCCACATTCTCTCTGATTTTATGAAATATTGTATTTGCGCATTTCTATTAAGTCTTATAACTGCTTCTAAGTACTGGGTGTTGAAGGGATTCGATTTTAAGCTCAGATTTATGAACCTTTGTTTACATTGCCATTGTCATAGTACAGTGAAGAAATGTCCTGGTTCAAGGTTGGGCTGAGTGCCAAATGGAGTCACACAATTTTTCTACTTAAAATAAATCCTATTTTTCCAATAGATGCATCATATTCGCCCATAACAAAACCAAACCCATGATCTGCATAGTACTAGGCAGCCTCCTATCATAGGTGCCACTGAAATTTGGCCGGATGTAAAGGGCTTTGAAGACAAAGCACAGTAAAAAAAAACAGATTTTTACACTGTGTGTAACTGCAAGACCTCCTAAAATTCATTAAAGAGCAACTTTTACTTCAGGTCCATCATTGTTTCCATTTGAATGTTTCAGTACAACAAGCCTCCCTATCACACAGTGCACCCACAATGGTCAAACAAAGAAATAAAGAACTAAATTAAGTTTTGTGGATCTTCATGTTTATGGAAAATGTCAACCAGGGTAGACACATGCAGAGAGGAAGGGACAGAAACAGGTGGATAGATAAAGGACGGGGACAAGGTGAGAGTTAAGGTGTGGAAAACAGAAAAAAAGTGGTTAATAAAGCTGAAACTGAAAAACATTACTGGACAACAACACATTGTGTTAATTTTTTTGATACAGTCAACAGCAGGGACCTCCTTGACACTTCGCACAGTAAACTTTTTCTGTCTTCTTTGACAGATTTGGCATTGCAAACTGCTGCACTTCGACTGATTCTGATACTAAAAACTAAGGCTGCACGATATTTGAAAAAACTAACATTCCAATTTTTTCAACCCTGCGATATAGATTGCGATATTAAAAAATACAGGAATTTTCACCAGATGACCTGAATAGCACTTTAAGCAATGCTGCACTGTTGAAATTTTGTTAACCTGCACTGATCTTACCTCTTTTTGTAAATGTTAGTAGAATGACTTCTGGCTGTCTTAGAGATATTTTTAGCTTGTTTTGTGCTGGGACGTCGTTGTGGCAACAGATGAACGGCACTGCCGACACAGAACACGTGTTTTGGTCGACATCATCCTTCTTGTAACCGAAATAATTCCATAGAACTGACTTTCCTTTTCTTTTCAGCAACAAGTCTTAATTTCGGTGGTTTTCTCTTGTTCGTTGCTCATTTTGTAATCGTTGTTGTTGTTACTGGTATTCTGCCGAGAAACACATGCCCACCGAGGATTGCATGCACCTCGCAAAATGCCTATAGTAGAGTGGTCAATAGAAATGTACAATTTATAATCCATACAGTTCTTATTTGTTGGGCTAAACAGTGATGAGTTATGTTCCGAAAGTAATTCTCAGCGTACACATGTTTCTCGGCACAACACCGGCAGTGCCAGCGACTCACTTCATGTGCAGAACGTGCGGGGGCGTGGTTTCCTCCTCTCTGATTTTGATTGACGGCTGGCAGAGTGGTCTGATTGGCAACTGAGTAAAGAACGAATGTGATTGGTGGATCGCTGCCCAGCACATGCAGAATCTCATGGAGTATACGTCAGTCAGCTACCCTTAAAATTAGATGAGTTTGCCTCCTACACTGCTGGCTCTGCGATGTTACTATCCCGCACACGTACATCGCAATGGTGATGCTCAAACGATTTATCGTGCAGCCCTACTAAAAACTGGTTTAAAGTAACTGCAGTTGAAAATGGAGACACACTAATACCAAAGAAAACTATCCATCATAATTTTGTGTAATACCCTTTAGTTTTAGTTTTTTTTTTTTTTGTGGGGATTTTAGTCTGAATTTAACTTTGCGTTATTTCTAAGTTGTTTTCCTCTTGGCCTTTGTTCACTTGGAAGGGTTGTGTTCGCAGCCATAACAAATGGCCATTTCCATTTTCCCATTTTATTTCTACCAGGATAAATGCTGCTCAGAAGTAGAAATTGGCAAAAATGCTGTTTCATTTGTCAATAATCAGCCGCTGTTCTACAACTGTGGGCTATATCACCACAGATTAGTTAAAAAGTTCAAAGAAAAACGGTCCAAGTGTGTGGGGAAAAAACAGCCAAAGTATTTCTGGTGACATTTGTAAATCAGCCGTACTAAATGCTCCCATTGCATTTGCATGGTTCATTTACTAAAATACCACAACTGCTGTCATACAACGGAAACTCCAGCTGCGTGGTAAGTTACTATTCTGCCCCCCTGCCACATTGCCAGGACAACCTCTGCATCATATCCACACCACCACAGGGCTTTCCTATCTATCAACAGTGCATCTGAGGACTGTGTGGCTCACTCCCAGCTTTAATGACACTCCAGGCCCATTAGGGACTGTTGTTACAAAGGAGGAGAATCACCCAGGCAGAGTCAGACTGTGGAAGCACTAAGCCATCAGGCTCGGGGGGAAGGGGACAGTTCACCTTTGTATTTTAATTAAAACAGCCTCCTAATTGCTTTCACGAGAGCTCCTGTGGGTGCATTTGGTGTTATTTTTTACCAATTGTGATTGATTCAGGACAGACAATATATGCCAAATCAAGAATTCTTATAATAAACAGTACATATAACCAAAAAAAAAAACAAATAAAGTGCAACCTGTATTGTGCTGCATGGACAATAGTGAGTGCAATAAATAGAAAATTTGTTATGATTTGCTATTTGTAGTTTAGCTACCAGTGTATCAGAGATAGGTTTTAGTGAAATCTGCAGATTCTAGCTGTAGTCACTCATGCAAACCTACTCTTATGTAGCATATCAAGCAGACTCAAAGATAAGAGGATGAACAAATGCTACAAACTTAGTCAGCATGTTTTTTTTTTTTCTTGAGACAAGCTCTCAGAAGAGAATGATAAACTGTCGGTGTAACTGAGAGGAGACTAAAAAGAAGTCAATCAGTCAGTCAGTTATATGTTATGAGCTTACTTCAAAGCAAGTTAATGAAAAATGTGTCAAACCACTGAAAATTAATATAGGTGCAGACAGGGCGCATGCATAAGAGCTAATTAACTTGACAGGATATGGGTTTGATTGATTATGGCTGATTAATATTAGAGGTTAATCTGTGCAGAGTCATTAGTCAGCCTCTGACTGTCATGACTCAGACACTAATATTGGATGGATGTTAATATGTTAGAGTCAGATCAATTCTTTACTCATTCAAAGGTCATCTCTTGATGTGCATATTATGTATTAAAGCTGTGCTACTTTGCTCCGTTTTTGAATATAGAGACCTATATTTTATGTCACGTTTGTGCAGCTACAAGGAAATTAAAAACCTGTCTCATCTTTTTTAACTTACAGTAACAGTAAAAGCCTTTATCAGGGCTGCCTTTGAACCTAAGATATGCTCTGTACACTCATATTAGACAATATAAGACCTGTCTTTGCTCCTTGTCCTGCGTGGAAGATAGGTAAGGTGAGGACTGCTGGTTATCAGGTTATGATACCTGACTTCTGACAGCTCCTTACATACATTCCAGATTTAGCTTCTTCAAAGCAGCCCATAAAAATGTGCAGTGACATTTTAACACTGCAAAAAAAATAAATAAATAAGAATTCATCTGAGAGAAATGGATTGACATGATAGGAACATGATAATCATACACAGAACAATGGTCTTTTAACTTTGGTTTAGTCAACGCCATTGAGTTTAATTTGGCACACTGGTTCTCTTGAGCATAGGGCTGTTAAAAACTAACCTTTTGCTCAAGTGGCCATTTTGACAGCAAGATTCCTTGTTTTCAGTGTCTCTGTGAAAGAGTTCTTCAAATTAAAGAAAGACAAGCGTAAGAGGGATGGATATCTGCCAGAGCAGCTGATGGAAGTGAAAGTGTAACAGCCAAAATTTCCCAGCACTTGGCAGGTGGCTGATGTTAATGTGCCGCCTCAACTCTGCTCAACACTTCTACCGCTTCTCATATTCCCACCTCAGAGCTGCTTCCCAATTATGTTACTGTGCTATATGGATCCCAGGCATATTATGTTGCATGTCTGTGTGTCACAGGAGGAGAATCAGTGGAGGAGGCATCTCCTCTGTTTCTGCTGTCTTAAGCAGAATGCAGCAAAAGCCGAGTGCAATTTGGATTGTTGCTGAACCACATAATCATGTGTTCCATTCTGATCCTTTCACTAGCGCTGGATTCTTATATGAAAAATGGAGTTGTAGACTTTGTCCCTTAATTATGAATCATGAAAATCTGAGATCTTTTTCTACAGCCTGGCTGACAGACAGGCAGAGCAACTATTCCGTGTAAATACCAGAGTATCAGTCACCCCCAGTGCATCAGGTCTGCTGCTGTTTCTATGCAAAAAAAGCAGTCTCTGGGCAATAGGCAGAAAGTCCTGACCCAAATCTGTCTTTACATAAGGCCCTGCATGATGGAGATGTTGCTCAGGGAGCAAATAATTAGATTATTTAAATATCATATTACAGTCAGTCATATTAGCAGTGGTGTGTAGCCGAGCTGGGGCTTGATTAAAGGTAGAGGGCACAGAGCTGGAAAGATGAGAGAGGGGAGATTACACTCTACAAGATTTCCTAATTGATCTGGAAGCAAGGCGCTTTAATTGATCTTGTGTGCTGCACAGGGTTGCAGGCATTTCTCTATATCTGACTGAAATATCCTGCAGTAGCAATATCAAAGAAAAGCTGGTAAAGTGGAGACAAAGTACTGGAAATGATGGACGATGGAGCGTTGGAAACCGTGAACAGGTGATCACCTGCATTGTAGTAGAAAGACAGAAAGAAAACAACATCCTGCAACATGACATGGTGTGAATTAAATGCACGTTTCAATTAAATGAAGGCGGATTTGGGCTATCGGGCATTGTTACGCACTATTATCACGCACACCTGCGCGCCAGGAATGCACGCTTCCCCCCGATGACCAGATCAAACAGTGGTCATCAAACACAAGAAACAGTCGCTCAAAATACACATAATGTAGGATACTTACGTGCCAAATTGCAAAGAAGATCAGGGACACACAGAGGACCAGAGACAGCATGTAGCAGAAGGCAGCGAACGTGAACATAATGGAAGGGGGAAACGGCAGATAATTTCCCCAAAAAATACGACCCCGCTGAAAATCATCTAAAAGAAGAAGAAGAAGAGGGGGGAAGGGGAGGGAGTCCAGAGGAAAGTTCTCACGGTTCCATGACAAGCCGATGCGGTACCGGCACCATGTCTTCGCCCCTCACTATTTTGCAACAAATTGTTGCAGGAAAAAAAAGCCTTCCAGATGACCAGCCGTGCGTCCAGCAGCAATGTGTCTCTGGAGTCCAAATTGTCTTAAATCAATGCACTTGGCATGGCCACAGCTCAGTGTCTACGCTGTGGATGAGGTGACCAAGAAATTGCAGGAAGGCAGCTGTATCCTCAGAGATGAACGAAAATTAATAAGAGGTTTTGCGCAAAAGCATGCAGGGGATGTGATGGTTTTTTTTTTGGTGATCCATTCAGCAGCGGCGGAAGGAGCTCTGACGTGTCTGAGCTGTGGTGGTGTTGGTGGTGGTGGTGGTGATCATATTGACTGGAGGAGCTCTTTGCCAATTTATGCAAAAGGCGTTTTCACATGGTGTTTTCTCCCCCCTACCAAAGCTTTGAGCAGAGGCGTGTGCACACACAGCAGTAAGGCGCTTAAACAGGTGGATAAAAATAAAAAATAGACCAGCAGCCAGTGTAGGGGTTTATGTGTATGTGCATGCACATATGGCTGAACGCGCACACATTTACAGTCCACACAACTTTCCATTAAGGTGTGATGTGCTCTTGGTGTAATATGGCTCATTTGCATGCCAAATTACCAAGATTCTGTGAGTGATCCTCGTGTTAGTGGACAACTTAGTGTTAGGTTTTTGTCTCTCAAGTCTGTTACCATGCTTTCCTCTCACACAGGACAGTTCACACAAATCAGATAGGACATACACCATAAAGATGATGTATTATCTTAAAAAGTTAAACTTAGAGCTGCACTGATGAATTCAAACAAACTGATCTGTCTGATATTATTGTGGGACTGAACACTGTGAGAGTGGCGCCATCGTCTGACGCAGTGAAAAACTGCATTGAGGTTGAGTTGTTCAGGGAAAAAAAAAACAAAGGAGATGATTAAAAATCACCAACATTTGTCTATTGCTGTACTGTGAAGCTCAGCCCAGTGTGTGTGATAATGATGATACTCATTCAAAACAAATAGCAGACAGGGAATTCAACACCAGGGCAACATGAATAGGCTATCTTTCAGCAAAGCTATTACTCCCTAATAGTCTGTCAGCATCCACCCAAGCGGGGCAAGCACTGTCCTGATAACCTACTGCTCCTTAAAAGAGAAGCATCTCGTCTTTACAAACAACAACAAAAAAGGTTTTCAGCAGAAATTAATAAAAATTTAATATATATATATTTTTAAAAGCAACCACCTTGGCCTGAACAGATGTACAACAGATATACGTGTGTGTACGAGACAATACAATAAATAGTAGTCGCTATAATGGTATATTGTTTCAATGTTTTGTTAGTTTTATTTTGAAAATGTATCTATATCCGGATTCTAAACGTCGGTTAACGGAACTTGACATCTCGCTTGTCGCCTAGCAACAGTTTATGACAGCTGGCTACCGGCCAGGCTGCTTCATATGACTAAATTGCAGCTGTACCGGATTATATTTCTCAAAATACTGACGGTTTTCGACACACAACAGCCCAGATAAACGGCTGAGTCATTAAAAGGTAAATAGGTGCGACGCTGAGTGTAGTATCCTGGTTAAACATATCCTCTTCATGCTGGTTTTCCGAACGACACCAGGGTAAACTGCGTGTTAGTGGACCTTTGCGGTGCAGCGGCCCCATTTCGCCCTCATTACTAGACACTCATTAGTGAAGCTTTGTAGCTGGACCATAAAAGTTATTGGCACATATAGGGGAGAGTGGGGTAAGTTGAGCCAAAGGGTAAGTTGAGCCACCCCCTGGTACTTGGAAATAGTAAAATAAATTGATCATGTGACCAAATATTTAGGAGATGGACGTCAATTCATGGAGTCTGTGAAGGTTAGAAGCACATGGGTGAAGGGGTTAGACATTTATTTCCAAAAAAAAAAAACATTTTTCACTCCTAATAGTGAATTTAGACTGTCATAAGTTTTATTAGAATTGTGTTCAGACCAAAAAAAGATCAATTTAAATTGTTTTATACATCAATTGTGGTATCTATGAGCGACAACATGAGGTCAAATACCTAGCATAAAAGTCCACCATTTTAGCTTAGAGGACTAATACAGTTATAATTGTAGGTCAGGGGTAAGTTGAGCCATTTGGCCAGGGGTAAGTTGATTTGAACCACTTTTTTTTTTGCATGCTATATTATCAAGACAGTTATGTTTACACACTCAAGGTCCTTACACACCGGGGCCAACACTAATATAGAACACGAAATTCTAATATGTCCGGTGGCGAATTTTGACATGCCTGACTACACACATCAAGCCCGATGTGATTTTGCGACTTCCCGGGGGGAAAAAGACACATATCGGGGAAGACTTTTCCCGGGGAAAGTCCTGCCTCCTTCGCCTCTGGTGGCTAGAAAAGCTGGAAACGTCATCACACGCTCAAGCCAAATGGTCAGCACTTATAGCCAATCAGAGGCGATAAGATAAGCACATGAAACTATGGTAACAACCGTTACCTTATGTTAGCACAGATGAAAGTTAAAACAAAGACCTTGTTAACGCACACAAACCATCGTCATATGAGAGATCCGACGCTATGACTCTCCACTAGTTGTCCTTCAGGTCGTTATCTTTGTAATGTTTGTGTCTTTTATCAAAGAGCACACTGTTCTCATATATGTAAGCAATCAGCCGGTCGGCCATGTTGGATATAGCGGTGAATCAGACATCGCAACAACACGCAATCTGATTGGTCAGAAGTGGACACACACAAAGTATTTCTAAAAATCAGTAGGCTTTCAACTCAGTAATGCTTATCGCTTCCCTTTAGTTTGTCTGTTACTTTGATTTACTTCTCCATCAACACGATTTGGTTAAACACACAGCAGCACAAGTGGAGAAAAACTTAAACCCCCGCCATCTTATTCTTGGGACTCATAGTAACAATCTGAGTCAAACTCATGTTTCAACTCATTTCGTGGCTGCCAGCTGCTCTGCTCTTCCTCAATACTGACCAATTTCAGTAATTGTTCTCCCCCAGTCAAACACACACAGACATGTGAAAATAGGGCCCAGGCTCAAAAATACAGAAGCTCTGCCTTAAGACAGTGTGTTTGGACTCTTCAGCTACATTCCTCTCTGCCTCTGACTGATGATACAGAAGTTACTGCTATGCAGCTTTTTTATTCTCAAGAAGCTGAGCTCTCACACTGAACCCTATCTTACACACACACACACGCGCGCACTCATAAATAAACAGTCAAACCCTTGAACACCACTGCAAAGCCACTCTAAGATCTGATTTTGTTGCAGTGATAGGGTTTTTCTTCATCAGCACATGAGGCAATTTGACTCAGCAACCCCCCCCCCACCCCAAGGCTGTCTTTGCTGTTAGAGTCAGTGAGAGACAGACAGAAAAAAGACAAACAGACATGAAGAGTCTGTACAGCAACCACACAAAGATCCTGCTGTGTCATTGCTCAGTTTTTTCTCTGACATCCCAGTTTGTTTTTATATGGGGTGGCTGTGGCTCAGGGGTATTTCAGACAAGGTCATCTTTCAGCAGGTAGGCTGTAGTTTGATCCCTGCTCTGACTGATACAGGTCTGACACATGACACTGAACCCCAAATTTGCCTCTGATGTCAAAGTCAGTGGTATATGAAAGTTGTTGGTAAGTAGCATACTTTCTCTGGTCCCCTAATGTATGTTTGAATGTAACTGAGGATTTCCTGCTTTACGTCAAAAGTAAGCCAAAATCAATAGAAACAATGAAGATAGTAATGTTGCCCATGGGTGGATAATAAGCTGTTAACTTTTGAAGGAGGGCTTTTATAGACTTACTGCTCTATGGGGGTCCCCTTATAAACACTTGGGGGTTCTGCCATTTCGTTCTTTATCTTCATCATCATATTTCCTGAGTAAAATATGATCATTATTGATGTCTAATTTATGCAGAAGGATGAGTCAATGCTGATCTGCTTTCACAGACACCGTCATGTCGGCTTTCTTGCTTTACCCAAGGGCAGAGCAGCACAATAACCTTCACTCACTTTCATTCAAGTATGGGATTTAAGATTAAAACATTTTCATTCATGCCTTTTTTAATCACTGCACCAAATATTTACTTTTATTTTCTTTTTTTTTTTTTTTGTTCTGAGTATATACAAAACCTTGCAAATAAGAAGGATTAGAAAAGACACATGCCAGTGTATTGGCATTGCATCTATTTCTTTGTTTGGAAAGGAGCAGCGCCATAATTTCCTCATCTTCAGGAGGAATGTCAAACTTTTTTTATAGCAACTAATAACCCATTTCTGCCCAATCAAAAAGTTGTTTTTTACCCTACACTGTTTACCAATTATCGGAGCAGGAACTTTGCTCGGCATTACTTGTTACTTGTCTATATATTTTTAAACGGAATTTAGATGTTGCACTTTAACCCGTTATTCAAGTACTTGACCAAAATAATTATGGTACCCGTTGAGCAATAAACAGTGTAGTATAGTAAAGCCGGCTAGTCTAAACTTTGTCTAAATTTAGATGTCTAGATAACTTTTATTTTTAGACCTGTGGTAGGCTGATTTTAGACCAGTCGTCTAGGCTACATTTAGACGTCTATTAGACCTAGTTTTAGTCAAAAAATGCTCAGTGGGAAGGAAGAGTTGTTTAAGATTGTAGATAACCACAGGGTTTGCATAAGTGATATGCAACTCAAGGGCAGTGTCAAGGCTGTTTTAATTGCTAATTTGTAGAAGATAGAGGTTTTGCCAGCTCCTGTGGGGGAAAAGGTGCACAACGCAGGAGCTGGTGTCTGTGCTGGTGTCTCCAGGTTCACAGGTAGGCTTGTCATTTACACATCTGAATGAGTTGTTATTAAAAATAGAGCATGAAAAAATAAAGCATCAAGTAGATGCAGACAAGGACTGACCCTCGAGAGAATTAAATAGCAGAGAAGGCCAGAATTGATTTTCAGTGTGACAAATTGAGGTTGATCAGTGAAGGTAAGTTAGACATGGCTGCCAGTCAAGGTCTATGTGGAGAGGGATGAGCAGGGTGCTCACCGTCTAATTCTGATCTTCAGGGTAACTTATGGTTTGTTTTGAGGTGTTATAAAAGTGACCTTGACACATTTTTTCTTTGCTTTAGAGGGTAGCTAGTGCGAGAGGATAGCCTGAAGCAGATCGCACACTTGTGCTAAAATGTGTGCTTACTTGAAAAGCGCAGGCTTTGTCTGTGACTGATAGCTTGAGTTACTCCTCAGTGAAAAGTGCTGTTCTGAAAGTGTATGAGATGATTCCTGAAGCATAACGCCAGCACTTTAGGAACAGTAAAATGGTGATAAACAGCCTTACCTGGAGTTTTCACATGATTTGTTGGTGCGCAGCCTTGGATGTTCGAACTTTTGATGATTTGCGTGAACTTATGTCTGACTTGTTATGTCCTCCCTCTTTGTGTGTTCTTGCAACTCTTTGTGCATCCTTTGACGAGGAACTTAAAAAAAGAAAGGAAAAAATAAAGTCAGGTCAAATTGCAT